GTACACAAGTGCGGTAGCCACTTTCTCCCATGCTCTGGGAAGAAAAAGGGGTGGACTATTGGGAACCAGGAACCCCAGGCTCATTGCGGGCATTCAGGCAGCTTTTTCCTTGCGTGTCCCTCAAGGCCGGGCTGTGCAGGCCATTTCTCCTCCACTGTTTCTGCCAGCCTTTTGCCATGGTCTTTGGTTTTTACCAGTGTCACACAAAGATGACCATAAAGAAGAAACAAGAGCTCAAACCGGAGTGCCTGTGGCTGGGAAACAACACAAGCTAATAGTTTTCATTGCTTCGGAGAAAATCAGGGTAAAATGCGGATGCATAAAGGAAGACACAGCCATGAGGCAGACGCCCATGCCCCAACCTCGAGCTTCTCGAGCCCAGCCATCTCCCCCAAGCTCCAGCCCTCGGTCCTGAGACTCACAGAGCAGGAGGCCAGGTCAGGCTCTACCCTTCCCCCTTGCAACCTGTACCACGGGCACCTCACTTAAGGAACCTCAGTTTCCTTATCTTTAAAATGGGGATCATGCCAGTGTGTAATTCTGGCAGAAAGTGAAGAAAGCTGTGAACTGATTAAACACAAACTAGGTGGAGAGTGCCTGTTCTTTTAGCAGAATTTTTCACAGGGTTTCTTGATGAATTTGAGAATTCCACTCTGTCTTTTCCTCTCTCTGTGTTGGTGCTTTTTTCTTGGGGAGTTTCCATGACAACTGAGGGCTCCAGGCTGGTAGTATAGCTCAGTGAAAGACCACACACTCAGCATGTGAGAGCCCTAGGGTTTGCCACCAGCTCTTCCGAACAATTATAAAGTTTTAGTGAAAGGGAACAGAGGCCAGAGGTCCCTTGCCATGCTGCTCAGCATCCGTTGTAGTCAGGGGTTGCAAGAACAATTACATAGAAGACAAAGAATTTTTAATATTATTTTATGATGGTCACCCAGCGTTAAATATAAGAAAGTTCAGGAAATCTGTCCACAACACTAAAGACCTAGAAAATCCAGCTGAGGGCCTGGATCTCACCACAATGTTCTGTATAAGTCCAACTGAAGACCTAGAGCCCATGGCAATGCCTCTCATGAGTCCAGCTGGAGGCCCAGAGACCCTAATATTGACTTATGCAAGTCTATTTCATGGATCCATGCTGGGAAGGCCCAAAGGTCAGCAGTGGAAGCTAGAAAGTCTATGCCAGTGGGGCGAAGGATCTGTGCCAGTAGGTTGACCCTGGAGACAAGAAGCAATGCTCAAAACAAGGACCAGGTTCCCTTAGAAAGTACCCAGCCATCCTCAGAAACAATGAGGTCCTGAGATCCTCTAATGATGAGAACAGTTGAGTACATGTCAGGAAGCCAGCGTGACAGACTTCTCCTGGAGATTAAACAGCACACATCTTCCTCTTTGGAGCCAGGAAGTGATGCTCAATGTAAGGACCAGAGCTCCCCCAAAGTGAACTACAGCCACTGTCGATGACAACATCCTGAGCTCCTCTGATGATAACAGCCGAATTCATATCGGGGAAGCCAGCATGACAAGCTCCTCCAGGAGACCCAATGGCTCCAAACAACGCTTAGGAGAACCCACAATGCCACAGTGTTCCTCTCCAGGTCTCCTTTTATGCTGGCAATGGTCCTCAGGGTGGGCCATCTACACTCAGCACCATGTGGATTTAATTCAGCTGGTGTTAAGCTGACTACCAGTTTTTAATCCATAACAGCATCAGAGGGAGGATCTCTGCTTCCTGCTGTCCAGGAGCGAGGGTGAGTCCTGCCAAGTGTGAGTCCACCCACAGCAGTATCAATTCATGACTTCACAGAGATGCCTTCATGCTGGGGGAGAGGTACATGGGGGGTTTGGCATTAGGGTGTCCCATCCCCAACACATTTTTATTTTCATTGTTTTTATACTGTTATAGTAAAATCCAAATATCTTGATGTTCCTTTGGAAATCCTTGGAAGTCTATTTCCTCCCAGTTTCTGGGATGAGAGGGCAAAGAGACCTGATACTCTAAGTCACCTGACCCCTGAGAACAGCTTTACAAGAGATGTGTTATTTAGCTACTGCTGTGTAACAAATGTGACCATCTCAATGGGTAAAAAAATCACACATTGCTCATGAAACCAGGCAACAGGTTGGCTGGCCAGTTTTGCTGTCATGAGTCTGAGGTCAGCTGTGGACAAGACAGGTGGTTCTGAGTTCTCTCCCATGTCAGAGGTCAGCTGGCTGCAAACTGGCCCAGGCATGAGTTGGTCTCCTGGGCTCACTGTCCTCTAGCTATAGAATCCAGTCTGTTCTTAGGGGACATGGTCACTTCTGTCCTGCTCCACTGGCATAACCAGCCTTGTGGTCGTGGGGAAACAGGGTCCCTCTTTCAAAAAAGTGCTTAGGAAGTCACCTGCAGAGGGACATGGGCACTCACAGCTCTGCTGCCTCTCTCTGCCTGGCAGAGGATGGACTCTTTTTCCTCTGGTGGAAAAGAAGCCCAGGAGGAGGAAGGGAAGGATGGGGGCAGGGTGGGGACAGCTTTCTGGGTCCTCCCTGTCACCCACACAGAGGGCTGGGAGGACTTGCTCAGGAACCATGTGTTCTGGGCACCCAAGCTGAGCCCCTAGGACTTCATAGATCTAAGATAGTTCCATGCATCAGCTCAAAATTGTGCACATTTCATCTGTCACGCGTGAGGTTTCTGCACACAAGAGAAGGAAAGATGGCTCCCTATTAATTAGGACACCATGAACACAGCAAAGTGGAAATAAGGACAAGCAGAAACCTCCTGGGACCCAGGCCTGGCCATGACAGCCCACACCCATTCCTGTGCCCTGAAGACACAGCCACCTCGTCCCCTCCACACATGAAACGCAAGTGATCTGCAGCCTGGAGCACACAGGCAAGGACAGCCACAGCCACCTCCCAGGGCTCAGAGGAAGGAGATGCATAAGGTCACTTAGATCATCACCCTCCTTCCTCCTGGTGACTCAGTGCAATTGGGCGGTTCAGCATGGGATGGGGATGGTGGTTTATGAGCAGCAGGAATCTGTCTCTCAGGGCCCTGGAGGCTTCATGCTCACTGAGAGCTGCTTCCGGCTCGCAATTGGCACCTTTGCATTCCGTCCCCCCATGGCAGAAGGGACAGGGGCGCTAGGGACCTCTAAAAGGACACTCACTCCTTCCTGAGACCCTCCCTCTCCATGTGCCCGCCTTCTGACACATCACCTTGGGGATGAGGGTTTCAGTATCTGCCTCCCAGGAAGACACAATCACAACAGCATCGGGTTTGGACAGGCTCTGTGCTGAGTGTCAGTGCAAGGAGAAGGCCAATCTGTCATACAAACGCCACACACACTAACAGGGCTCCAAGCACCCGAGAGTTGGGGTCTGATTTGCTTTTGATTCCTTTTCTCCAAATCCCTAAGAAAATACTTTTTCGTTGGAGCAGCAGGAAACAGCATCACCCTGCATGCATCACACCTAAGAGCCTCGGTACAAACACAGCTCACACACAACCTCACACGTCCTCCATGCAGCTGCACGACCAACCCTGCCCGAAAGGGGGAGCCCTGCCCCAAGCTGTGGCTGCCTTGTGGCTGTTCAGCGCGGGATGGTTAATTCTCAGCTGGGCGTGCTGTCGCACTGGCATGGATGGTTTGTCCCTGCCACACTTTCCTGCTGCCCACACTGAGCCCCATACCTGCAGGAGCAAACACAAGCAGAAGCAGCAGATGTGTCACATCCCACAGAGATGCATGCCATCTGACACCGGACCTGGGGCTTTTAAGAGCTGGGGACTTGCCAGGCTGCCCAAAACAGAGCATGGTGGTGATTCCCAGGAAGCATCCCACTGCTGGAACTTGGTGCGGACAACCCATCAGCATGGCATCCTACATCCCCAGACTCCTGGGCTCTAGCCACCCTCCTGCCTCAGCCTCCTGAGAAGCCAACACACACATGGTCCCAGCAGACACTATCTCTTAAAACAGCTTAGGAAGAATTTATTACAGTGAGACAGGTGGGTGGGGGAGCAGGCTGTGGAGTCAAGGACACTGGTTTCAGGCCTCGACTCTGTCCCTTTAACAATCCGTGACTGGACCTGCTGCTCAGCCTCTCTGGGCCTCCTCAGTTGGAAACAGAGTTCTCAGAGATATCATTTCTTAGGCTGGTGGGGGAGTTGCAGCTCATGAGCCATACACTGGAGCAGGAGGAGACTTTTCTGTCCTGAGGCACCTAAGTCTGGGTTGCAAGCTGAGCCCACTTTGTCCTGATACCAGCAATGCTTCTCAAACTGTCCCAGATCTCTGCTTTCTGCCCCAGCTCAGGTGTCCTCCCATGCCCAGGCAGGTCCACAGGTGGCCTGCCCTGCAAATTCAGCCCCTCCACTTTCCAGCCTCTCTGGACCCCAGGGAAGAGGCACCATGCTGCTCAGGACTTGCTGGCTACGAGCCACAGAATGTGGAACCCATCAGTTTGTGTGGTAAGAACACTTAGGGGGTATATCTCACTCTTAGAACAGTGAGAAATGGGCTCCAGTGGGCCACCTGCTCTGGAGCTCACCCTGTGCTTGTCTTCTTTACATCCTTCAAATGGCTTCCATTCTCCATTCTTAGACAGGTTTCCCCTCATGGTCACAAGATGGATTCAGTGTTACAGTCTCTGTCCCAACCGCTTCAGCAAAACCCTGAGACAGACCAGACTGAGCTTGCACCTGAGTCAGGTAGGGATCTCTCTGACTGGAGGCTGATTCCTGCCTTAGTCATTTTATGTGGCTATAAAATACACAGGGGAGTTGCTGCACCCTTCCCCAACGAGACATAGCAAGCTCGTTGGCTCTGTCCCCACCTTCTCTCCCAAAGCCACAGATACTAGAATGTCAACCACAGAAGCCCCACTCCATGCTGTCAGCATGTGGACTGTGGGATATGTTTCCAGCACAGGAGGTCCCAGGACACATTCATACCACAACAGTCCCTGCATAGGTCAACTCGCCATCGCCGTCACAAAATGCCGAGAACAACTTGAAAGGAAGAAGAATTTATTTTGGCTCACGGTTCCCAAGATTTCAGTCTGTGATTGGTTCAGTTGCTTTTGGGCCTGTGGCAGGGTAGAACCTAGTGGCAGCAGGGGTGTGGGAGCCAGCAAGCAGAGACAGAGGCAGAGGCAGAGGCAGAGGCAGAGGTGGACAGGGGGATGGGGAGGGCCTCTTACAATTGATGTCTAGAGTCCTCTGAGCCTCACACACTCAGCTTGGGGCATCTGGAATGTGGTCGGATCCTGGGACTGCAGCTGACTCTCTCTCAGGAGCCAAGATCTGGTCACTAGAGTGTGACCCAGAAGGATTTATCACCCTCTTGCTCCCCCCCTTGACTTCCGGTCCTGTACACCTTGCCACAAGGGGCTTCTCCTCTGCCGCGCCCCTGGGCCATGCTGCCCTGCCTCACAGCTGATGGATCCTGGACTGAAACTTCTACAACCTCTCAAATAAACCTCTCCTCTTTGAGCTGCGAGGGTCAGACACTGCACCTTAGAGATGAGAAAGTGACTAGGAGAGGTCCCACCATCCCCTTCCGGGTCAGCCCTAGTGACCTGCTTCCTCTGGCTGGACCCCACTTTCCCTCACTTGCATTGGCTCCCAAGAGCCACTAAACTAAAGCTATGAAATCCCAGAATGGATTCATTCACGGAGGAGCGGCATGGTCCTAACCCTTCCCCAAGCCATGTCTCAGACACAGCTGTCCAATAGCCAAGCTTTTGGGGGATGTCCACAGTTGAACCCTAACATCCCAAACAAAAATGGGAGCTCACCAGGGATATAGCTCAGCAGCACAGTGGCCTGCCTGGCAAGCGTGAGGTCATGAGTTCGATTCCCAGTACTAAAAAAAGGGAGTTCATGAAGGAGTGGGGGACACTGGAGGCCACCATAGGGATCAAGTCCACGTGACCCTGTGCAGTGTCTTGGAGACTCCAACCTGTGTGGGGTCCATGCCCTCTCCTGAGTTCTGAGTTGGGGACAAGGCGGTCTCAGCCACCTACTATAGAGGTCTGCTTGTCTTGATATCCCCACCTCAAGATCCCATCCCTGGGTCTGCACCAGGTTCCCCAATCCTTGGATTCCTCTACAGCTATGAAATGGGCCTAGGAACCCTCAGGTGTCCTCAGCTGCCATGGGGCCCCCATGGCAGGGGAGCCCATGTTTACAGGGTGCACACTGAACACATGAACTCACAGGTGCATAAGGCAAACCAGGAGGACAGCCCCTTCCCCGTGTGCTGCCACTCTGAGAATGAAGTCTTGGGTAGGGTTCAGACTGGGGTGCAGACCCCAGAGCCACAGCCTTCCTTCCTCTTCTTGCCTCTCCCTTGCAGGTCCTGAGCTCACTCTTGTGAGCAGCACCATCCCCCAGCTCTCTCTATCTGCATCCATCAAGACCAGGCAGGAAATTAAAGTGGGCATCGGGGCATTTGCAATAAGCAGCTCAGACCCTGGGACTGTGTGTGTCTGTGGGAGGATCGTGGGGCTCTTGCCTCTGTCCCCAAGGAGATGCTCAACCCAGACGGCGGCTGCTGATGAGCCTGACTATTCTAGCATTATATGGGGGACACAGTGGGGAGAGGAGAGAAGGGGGGCACAAGTCCTGTCCTCTGGAAGGGGTGGGTGGTGGCACCCAAGGTCAGCAGCTCCCCACAGCTGCAGGCACAGCCACAGATGCCCCCAGCTTCAGTTTCCATGTGAGTCAAAACGGCTACGTTGTTCTGATCTTTACTATTTCTCTTTTCCTACTGACTTGAGGGTTTCCCCTTCCTAGTTTCTTGAAGTATGACCTTAATTGTATCCAAGAACTCTCTTCTTGTTTGCTGTAGGCATTTGTTCCCCAAAAGCCTCATGCCTAGTTGGTAAGGCTCAGTCCAGAAAATGACCTATGATGGAAACATAGGAGTGTAGTGAGTTACCAGGTCACCCTGGTGTGGAGACCCTGTCTCCATCCGTTACTGGTGTCCTTTGACAGAGATGCAGAGCTGAGCACTCGCCCCTAGCCAAGGGAGCTGGAGGAGCCAGGGAGGCGGGACTCAGGGCCCTGTGACACCTGCTTCTTGGGCTCCGGCCAGGAAGTGTGAGATGGGTCATCTCTGCCTGTAAAGCCACCCGCTCTGGATCATTTGTTTCCAGATTTCTTCTGTTGTTTCTGTGCTTCCCCAACGCTGCCAACTCAAGCAGTCACCTTCAGGAGTTGGGCGTGGTAGCCCACACCTGTGGTCCCAGACGATACCTCTCCAGCATGGCCAGATCCTTCATGTCTCTGTGGCTCACTGGAGTCTCTCACTTGCTATGGGGGTTTGGAGAACTGTCCTAGTGCCAGCACCTCACAGTGGGGTGGCTCCCTGCCTTCCCAGCAGGCTTTGTCTATGGGTTGCTGGTCCTTAGCACTGTATCCCCCAGCTGTGGCCTCAGGTTCCCCTTTGGGGTGGAGCAGGAAAAGTCACACTCCCCATCTTGACTCCCTCTCTGCAGGCTCAGCATGGCCTGGCCCTTGACAGGGCTGGCCTTCACTTGCTGGGTTGTCTCGGCTCACAATGACCTAAGGATCAGCTCTTCCTGCAGAGGTATTCTGGAACAGCTGCCTGAGGGGAGCTGAAGGGCTGCATAACACAGCTGCAGGTAGTGTGGACTGCTCAGTTCAGTCCAATCCTGGGACCGCTTGAGCTGTGTGACCTTGGCCAAGTTACTCAGTCTCTCTGTGTTCTAGCTTCCTCCCCTACACACAGGAAGACTAAGAACACCTGCCCTGGAGTTGCTGGGGAATTGGATAAGACCCCAGCAGCAGCAGATTCCGCGCCTGATGCTAGTAAAAGTCAGCTTCCTGCCATCCAAGGTTGCGTCTCACTATTTATGTCTTGTCCTGTGCTCTGCTTACAGCCTCATTTTCTTAGATGCAGCCTGATCTTTTTTTTCATACATTTGGCTCAGCTCATTCATCATCCCCTGCCGGGTAATTTACTGCTGGAGACTACAAGTGCCAGAGATGGAACAAAGGTTAAGAGGCTGGGGGCTGGCGCCTGGGGAGACACATGTTTAGTTGGAGGGAGCAGGATGTGTAGAAAAATGGCTCTTACAAGCTCAAAGGCACCAGGACTACATTGAGCCCTTCAGCCCGATGAGCGCATCACAGTGGCTGCAGCCAGCGTCCAGCCACAATCCATCCTTAGGAACCTTCCTGCCGGAAAATCACCACAGGGTGTGAAAAATGGAGGAGTGCCTGTCTGTCTCAACCTCCTTTCTCCTTCTTTATTCAAAGCACCTAAGAGTCTGGTGGGTAATTAACATCCCTGAGACAAGGGAAAGTAAGATAATCCCCCACCATCCCCAGCCTCACTCCCAGGCCGCCCATCAGGGGTGAGCACAAACTGCCATTCAAAACACTGCAGAGTATGCAACAGACTGTTGTCACACATGCGCCTTCTGCCAGGAGAAGGCTGGCACCACTGAGCAGAGCCTCATCTCCTGCAAGCACCGAGCTCAGCACCGCTGCACCTTGCAAACCTCGTCCACTGTCCTCTCAGGTGCTGTGTGCCCAGTAGGTTGTGAGGATCGAGGCTCAGGGCAACAAAGTGGATGGTTGGGCCTGAGCCCTGGTTCCTGTGCAGGAAACCTGGACTCTCTTCAGAGAAAGTTGTGCCCGTCTACTTTGTTTTTTCCAGAGCAAGCCCAGGTCTGTACACAGCACTGGCCATGACCAGGTTTCAAAGATGCCACCCTAACAGAACATGTGCCCTGGTCAGGGGCATGCTGGGCTCCAGCCTCAGTCCTGGCAACCTGGCAGAGGAAGATGAGGGCAGACAGACCCGCATGTCAGAGGACAGTGTGAGGAAACAGGATGCAACAAAGCCGTGGATAAGCCTAGAGCTGCCCGGTCAGTACAAGAGGAGCTTCCTGTGCTTTCCAGACCTGCTGTGTGTTATGGAGATGCAGGAGCCCCCCCAACCTGCTCCTGGTAACCCCGTCCTGGGCAGGCGCTCCCAATCAGCCAGGTGCTGTTTAGGCGAGACTGTCTGAGAAGGGTGTGCAGTTAAAACGGAGATGACAGCTACGGATCTGACTGGAATCTGACAGAGAAGGCTAACCTCTGTCTCCCGCGCCAGCCACAAACTAAGCTGCTTTTCTTTCTTGCTGCCCAGGATCACAGCGCTGACTCGATTCACTGCTGACAGCCAGCTGGGCCGGGAAACCGAAGTCCATGGTTTCCAAGCGACTGATTGGCCTTCTCCGCCTCACTTCTTCCTTCTTTCTCTTGTCCTCCCATTCACAGATGAAGCTCCTCTACAAGGAAACAGCTTGCAAATAGTAAATTCAGCATCTCTGTGATACTCCGCCTCTGGGCTCTCTCACTTGCTCGATGGAAATGACTTGGGGGTCTCTTGGGCCTCATTTTTCTCCTCTGGAATCAGGAGGATAATAGCTTCATCTCTGGGGTCCTTGTAAGCATTAAATAAAATAATCCATGTGGAGGTGCACCTGTGTAATCCCCGCACACAGGAGGCTGAGGCAGGAGGATTGCTGCAAGTTTGAGACCAGCCTGGGCTACAAAGTGAGTTCAAAGCCAGCCCAAAGTGCACAGCAAAACCCTGCCTCAAAAAGACAAACACAAAAACAACAAGACAAAACAAAAAACTTAAACACATGCCTGATGTAGAAAAATAACACTAGTCACTGTCATTTGTATTAGCTCTCACTTGCTACACTAACAAATTACCACAAAATAGCTGGGCATAATGATGCACACCTAGCACTTGGGAAACTGAGGCAGGAGGACTGCCGTGAGATTGAAGCCAGTCTGGGGTATATAACATAGTGAATGCAAGTCCGGTCGGCGTTACATAGCAAGATCCCGTCTTAAACACAAGAAAAAATATTTTTAAAAATTTATCACAAATGACTCAAAATTCATTCTCCTTTTGGGAAAATGTTCATGTTCCTTTCTGAAGGCTGAAAGGAAATATACCCAGCTGAATATCACCTTTGAGCAACACTGAATCCTCATGGAGGCTCCAAAGGATGGTACGTACCTCTGTCTGCTCCACCTTCTAGAGGTGTCTGGCATTCCACAGCCCCAGGCCCACTTTCCTCCTTCAAAACTGTTAGACAGCTGAAGGCCAGGTTAGGTAGTACATGGCAAAGTGGCTAAGCAAGTGTGTGTGGCCTAGCAGTCACAGAGCTCAGGATTCCAGCCTAGAACATAGTTCCCAAATCCTGCACCTGGGACCAGTCAGAAAGTGCTGTCTTCAATTCTATCAGCACAAAATAAAACAGGCTTTTGATAGACTGGCCTTGATCTGACATCGGCCTGAAGGATAAAGGATGTGAAGATTTTTTCCATTACCTCCTGGCCACTGTGGAACCTCGGTAGCCCATTCTCACACTGCAGATCGTATTTCTTTTCTTACCTTTAATAAAGGTAAAGCTTACTACCCTTTTCATGCACCTCATCTTTGTTCAGTACACCAAGGACTGGGAAAGAGTCTACAGAAACCCAGAACCCTGTAACCTATGATGACATTGGGCCACCTGAAAAATGCAAACTAGTATCTCCAACTAAGTGTCTTTAATACCTCTGCAAATTCCCTATTTCCACAGATTCCAAGGGTTAGAAGGTAGACAATGTAGGGGTTTGTGTCTCATACCCATACTTTTGCACAATAGCTAATTTAATCCTCATTAGACTCTTTAAGGTAAGCATAATTTTACTCCCATTTGGAAACTGAGACAGAGAGAGGTTAAGGAACTTGCCCAAGGTCACACAGCTTCCAACCCAGGAAGCTGGCTTCTTCAGTCTACATTCCAGGAAGCTTAAATATGTGAAATGGTCCAAACAAGCATTATATTAATATTAACTAACAACTAAGGTTAATGCAACAATTCTCATCCTACATGACTTTTTTTTTACGAATTTACTAACTGATGTGTGAAACGCAACAATACCTGGCATAAGCCTCCAACCAATATTTCTGTTTTTCCACGTCTACTAAATTCTATTCTATTCTATTTTTGAGACGCAGGCTTCATGTGTAATTCGAGGTGGCTTCACTATGCAGCCCAGCCTAGCTTCGAACTCACAGCGATCTTCCTGCCTCAGCCTCCCAAATGCTGGGATTACAGGTGTGTATCACTGCACTCGGCTCTACTAATTCACTTTGTCTTCACCAGTTAAGACGTTGGTGTTTACCTTACCCTCCCTAAAATGGCGTCACTTGCTTCACTATCCATCCTCCCTGCTGCAGTTTGCGTCTATGGCGAAGAAAGCCACAGTCTGACCTTCTAAATACGGCGTTTACAATGCTCTCCGCCCTGTTCAAAATGACGTCACTCTTCCGCGTCAACTCATCACCTCTGACCTTCTCGAGATGGCGCGAATATATAGCGTCCCGCAGGACACTCTCAAGATGGCGTCGAGGTCGTAAACTCTCGGAAACACAGTGTCGTAGTCAAAGATACTTCCGGGCAGGCTTAGGAGGTCTAAGGTGGAGAAGGTGGCTGCGTGACGCCCGGTGTGAGCATGGACCGAAGGAAAAAGCCTTTGGACGTCACGGCGTCCTCGGTGAGTCCTTGGTCCCCGCGCCAGCCCGCCAGAGTGTATCCCCGAGCGGCCCCGGAACGCGCGTGTGGCTGCGTCGGGCCTGCTGCTCCGGGCGTCGCTGGGGACCCCGCCGGGGACGAGTCCGCAAGGGCTAGGACCTGAAGGGCTGGGATTGCTTCAAGGTGTCGGCATCTCCGCCCGCTACGCGTCCAGCGCCCGCAGGGCCAAGAGCCGAGCAGACTGGCAGGGCTGTGATGCTGACCCTGGCCGCGCGGCCCAGTGAGGGCGGTGGGAACGCGGTCCGAGTTTGGACTGATCCGAGCTCCCTTTCCAAAATTAAGGAGTAGACGCGTACTAGGGAATGTGTGGCTGCAAAGTTGATACAGGCTCGGAACAAAGTGTAGAAGTGTTTAGAATTTATTTGGGGTTTTTTTTGTTTGTTTTTGAGACAGAGTCTTGCTTTTTGTAGTTCAGGCTGGCCTCAAACTCGCAGCGATCCTCCTGCCCCAGCCTTCCGAGTGCTGAAATTACAGGCGTGAGCCATCATGCTTGGCTAGAATTTTTTGTTATTATTATTATTATTATTATTATTATTATTTTGGTTTTTTGAGACAGTGTTTCGCTATGCAGTTCAGGCTGGGCTTGAGTCACTTTGTAGCCCAGGCTGGTCTCAACATCGCAGCAATCCTCCTGCCTGAGCTTTGCGAGTGCTGGAATTACAGGCCAGCGCCACCACGCCCAGCATATTATTATTATTATTATTATCGGTACCAGGGATCGAACTCACGACTGCCTGCTTGCAAGGCAGGCGCTTATGCCGCTGAGCTAAATCCCCAGCCCCATTATTATTATTCTTGAGACAGTCTTGTTATGTAGGTTCAGGTTGCCCTTCAACTCACTGTAGAGCCCAGGCTGGTCTTAAACTCGCTAAGATCCTTCTGCCTCAGCCTCTCTAGTGCCTGGCCATTTTGAATCATTTAGAATATTAGGTCCTGGAATGAATCTGATCTTTAAAATCCATGCCCACGTTTAAATTTATTTCTTTCAGAATAGAAGTCATGGAACTCATTTTTATTTTTCTTAACTTGCTTGGTGATAAATACCTGATTTACAGATGCCTGGCTGTATAAGGTGCTGTGCTAGGGGTAGGGATGAGGAGTATTCTCCCAGGGCCTGTTTCTCTGCCTGTTCTTCTTTTCCCATTCTAAACCCTGACATTCAGCTCAAGTTAGTTTCTATGACAGCGTAGATCAAACTTGGAGGCGAACTCAGTCTACTTCATTTCTGGCTGTTTAAATCTTACATAGCTTTTGAGGCTCAACTCAGAACTTTCACTGATCACCTGACAGAAGGGAGAGCTTCCTAGCTGAACTTTGCTCCTCCTTTCTTCCACTCAGAGGTGTGTGTGTGTGTGTGTGTGTGTGGCAGTGGGCTTTTGTACTGAGCTGCATCCCTACCCATCTGTTTATTTTTCTTTCTTTTGAAAAAGTTACCTGACTGGGCTTAAGCTTTCAATCCTTCTGCCTGAGCTTCTCAGAATGCTGAGATGACAGGTGTGGGCCACCACACTGCACTTCTAATGTCATTTTTAAAAAACATTTCTTTGCATCTTACTGTTTATAAATTACTTTTTACTCAGTTGAGGCATTTGGAGGCAGGGAGGTCTCATTGGCATTTGTTTCCTGCTTGTCACTGTTGATGCCAGGTGCTGGGGGGTGGGGTTGAGGGAAGCATTTCCTGATGTGGTGATGAAAGAGCTGGGTTAGTGCCCCTCAGGAGGAGCTGCGGAGTGGTGGGTGAACCTGAGTGGGAAAGATGCAGGTGACATTTATTTCCTTTGCTTTGTCATCTCCCCAGCCCTCTTGTGTCCAGAGTCAGACCTACATTTATAGCAGAGTGGGATAAAATGTGATTTAGTTTAATTTTGTCTAGGTTTCTATAACTACACATTGACTTTGGTGTCCATTTAGAGCAAGACCAAATCTTGCTTTTTTTTTTTTTTCGTTTGTCTTTTTCCTTTTTATTGGTACCAGGGATCAAATTCATGACTGCCTGCTTGCAAGGCAGGCGTTTATGCTGCTGAGCTAAATCCCCAGCCCCCAAATCTTGCTTTTTTTTCAAAGTTTTTAGTAATTAATTTTATTTATTTTTGGTCCTGGAATTGAACTCAGGACCTCATGCTTGCCAGGCAGGCACTCTGCCACTGAGTTAAAGTCCCAGCCTGACAAATCTTGCTTTGAGAATTACAATAATTTAACAATCCAACCACTACTAGTACTGAAAAAAATATTTGTTTTACTTTTCTGGTTGTATTCTAGTTGGTAGATCTTAAGGCTGAACTCTTCCGAAAACAAGAAGAATTCAAACAAGAAAAGCTTCTAAAAGATTCTGGAGTTTTGGGAAAGCCAAAAACAGCTAACAAGGTAAAAGCATAATCTGACTGTGATCGTCCCCATTGTGTCTACTTGGTTGAAATCGTCACTTATGCTTTGAAAGTGTCGGCGATGTCTGTACCTGTGAGCAATGAGGAAAAAGTCCCTATCTTGTATTTGGGTGCCTGCAGGAGATATGTTAAGTATTAAAGCAAGAATTAGTGTGATTTTTTTTCTTTTGCGGTATCAGGGATCAAACTCATGATCTCACGCTTGCCTGGCAGGTGCTTAGCCACTGAGCTAAATCCCCAGCCCTTAGTGTGATTATTTAAAAGCAGGGTCTTGAGGCAGGGTCTTGCTGTGTAATTCAGGCTGATCTTGAACTCACTATGTAGCCCAGGCTGGCTTGAACTCATGGCAGTCCTCCTGCTTCAGCATCCAGAATGTTGGAATTACAGGCATGTACCACCACACCAGGTGAGACATAATATTAATACATACTTGTTCACATACTCATGGAAGGTTATCCATGACATAGATGCTCTGTATGCAAACAGAGATGAAAAAACATAGCAGGACCTTTAAGAGTTGTAAATGGTTTTTAATTTTATAAGTAATGGTTTGTGTTATTTGTATTACTAATTCTTTGCAATTGTATATTTTTTAAGAGTTTTTTGGGGTTTTTTTGGGTGGTACTGGGGATCAAACTCATTACCTCGCGTTTGCCATGCAGACACTTACGCCACTGAGCTAAACCTCCAGTCCTGGAGTCTTGAATTAGGTTGTGATCATGTAGGAGATTCAGTAAGTCTATGGAGTGGTCTCAAGAAAGTCATATAGTTCATACATAGTCATACAGTTCATAGTTTAGTGCTGTTCTGCTTCGGCAGCCCTGCAGATGGTGTCTGCAGGACACAGTGGTTGGAAGAAGAAATTTTCCCACTGGTCTTGAAATCTAAGGATTCCCAGCCCCAATGAACAGTAGATACTGTCTTGCAATTACGTGGTCTTTTTCTCATCGCTTTGAATTGTTCTCTAGAAACCGAGTATCTGGAGCAAGCAGAATGCAGGAGTTTCAAATCGAGCTGAAAAGGATGCAGAGCAGAAGATCGAGGAGCAGAAGACTTTAGACAAAGCAAGGTACGACTGAGCTCTGAAAGGTGTGGTTCTCTCTGAGGCCACCTGGGCCAAGAAGTGAGCGTTCAGATTTGATTTGTCTTAATATCCAATGCGAGTGTACCCAAGTGTTCTGTAAACATAGGGTGCTGACATCTGAAGGGCGCTAGTTCCAAGACCCACTTCCTGCAGATAACAAAACCAGGGGTGCTCATGTTCGTTGTGTGACAAGATACAACATTTGCATGCAGTCCGCACAGTCTTCCAATCCTCTCTAGACAACTTGGTGTTAATATTGTGTAAATTCTCTGTAAACAGCTGTCTGCTGTAATGTTAAGGAATAATGACAAGAAAAAGTTGGTACATGTTTGCTACAGCTAAAACCATTGTAGGCCTAACTCAAGAGTACACATCAGCAGCTGTGCAGTGTTTTTTTCTTTCTTTGTTCTTTCATTAAGTTGATTGGTACATTTTAGGTGCGTGATAATCACATTCATTATAGGGAACTTGTGCCTGTACTTCATATATCTTGATTCTTTTTTCCCCCATTTCCCTCTCCTCCCTTCAGCCCTTCTTCCCCTTTTGTTTACAAGAACTTGGTTTCCGTTTTTTTCTTTTCTTGTTTTATTTTCTTTTGCCTTTCTTCTCCACCACCACCAGTTCCCCTTCCCAATTGAACATTTTGTTTCTATTTCACAATATCCATTGTACGCCTTAGTCCTTACTTACACTTTGATTTCTCACAGCAGAAAAGCAGTGCAGCACTTACACGTGTGTCCAGTTCATTGCACGTAAGGGTGTGGTCCCAAGGGGCCATGCAGCATTGTTGCAGATGTGTTTGATTTGCAGTGAGGGGACCCGGGAGACAGACTGTGGCTAGGGAGGTCAGCTGTCCTCTAAGACATAATTCACAAGTCAGCTTTTGTCTCTTGACAGCCCCACATCCTACTTTAAGCTTTCATTAGTCCTTAATGCTATCAACAGGTGTTGGGGTGTCTTTGTGGTTTTGGCAGTTGCACGGGGTGGACACTGAGGTGCACTCTGCCCACACCCCTAACCTCTAACCCCGAGGATGTGTTTGAGACTTCCCAGGCGTGCTCCTGGGTGAAGGTTAGGACTTTAGCACTTAGAAACCCAAACCCTTTTCCCCAAACCGACAGAATGAGTGAAAAACGTGAAAGTAGAACGCAGTGAGTGTTCTGTACTCTCCCTACATTCACAGGCTGACGTCTGTCACGCCAGCTTTGTGTCCCTCCTCCTCTTTCCCTTGCTCTCTCTTCCACAATAAAAGCTGCTCTTGCAGAGCGTGATTGCTTTGGTGCCTTGTAGTTGATCTGTGCTGAGGGCCTTGCGAGGAGAGGAAGGAGGCGATGGCAGGGTTGGTCTCACCGCGGCGTTACAGGCAGGAGCACTGTGTTCTGCTGTCTGGGAACCAACCCTCAGAACGGTTACGTGACTTCTCACAGCCTGAGGGCCCGGCCTCTGGATGCCATTAGAATTCAAGTTGCCTGGTCAGACGTGGTGGCATAGGCTTATAATCCAAGTACCAAGGAGGCCGAGGTAGAGAAAGTGCAAAGCTGAGCCCAACCCGGGCAGCCTAACAACTTAGAGGAACCCCATCTCAAAATGAAAAAGTAGAGAAGGGTTGGGATGCAACTCAGAGGGAAGGCCTTGGAGTTAATCCCCAGTGTTGCAGAAAATGAAAGAGGAGAAGAAAGGGGAAAAAGAAAAGAAGGCAAAAACTTGCCCTCTAGGAGTGTGTGTCACATTCCTGAAAGAACAGCTGGGGAGCTTTGGGGGCTGGCCCTCTTGTCCTTATTTCTGCAGTAAAGAACCATGGGCATTCTTACCAGCCTGTGTCCACTGGAAGAAAAGCGTTGATAGCAGAGTTCACTTCGTTGAAATGCCAGTCGGTTTTTTGTTTTTCTAGCAATGTGTGATGACTATATTATCCCTGCTTTCTTTAAAATGGACATCCTAGTGTTTGTAAACATGTGAGAAGTTGATCTGTAAGAAGCCTGATAAGCCATAGGTGACCAATGGCTGAAAGCAGTGATGCCGAGTTTGCCTGGAATTTGGTGACCCTAATCAGAGGTTACCACGACAGTGTTTGTGTTTAGAGACATGTCACTTTGGCGGGTAACTTCAGTCGCATTTAGCTGTTAAAGTGAGTGGCTGGAGTCATAACTTGGTTTATTTACTCCATGGTCAGTTACTCAGCCGGCAGCTACTGTGCCCCTGGCGTGGCTTCTAGCCAGGACCCAGTGACCAGTGACATGCAACAGGACGTGGCGCCACTCTCAACTGCCTCCTCGGTTCCTTCCAGAGCTGCTTGTGGTCTCTTGTCAGGCTGGGTGGCAGCCAGTGCTCGAGGAGACACAATTGTGAGACCACTTATAATACCTGTTTCTTTCTCTCTTAGGGAAAAATTGGAAGAAAAGGCCAAATTATATGAAAAAATGACTAATGGCGACTTTATAGGTAAATACAACAATTATACTTCAATATCTTCTGTAATTCATACAGATCTTTGACATCATATCATAAAATTAACTAAGAAACTTAAAAGACCAGTTCAAAATCTTACTTTGATGGCTGCTCAGACAGGAAACCTCAGTCACTGACCAAAGTCTGGGCAGGGGCAGGTGTGGAGGAGGGGACAGGCACTGGATGACTCTGTGCCCCTGCCCTTGGCATGGTGGCAGGGGAGGAGGAGGAAGGCTGGGTTGTAGTCACTGTCACAGTCTTCTGTCCCATGCTGTGAGATGACACAGCTGTTCAGTGTCAAGCAGCACAGGGCTGAGCCCACACTGCAGAAGCAGGACACAGTAGTGTCTCTCCCACTGCTCAGGCTGGACTGCAGACCTCAGCCTGTGCACCTGACTGCCTTTCTGCTCCAGCTTGCAGCACAGCTGTGTGTGAGGGGACCTGGGATTGGCCATGGTGCTGGCATTATCTTTCCGTTCCATTTTTTTGTGTTCTCAGGCTTGTTTCTGTGATGGACCTATGATTGCTTTGCAGTTGTGATACTGAGCCTCCCTTTCCTCAGACACCCTAGAAAAAGAAACCTAGAAAAAGTGAGACAAGGAGAGACAGAGGTGGGACTGGGGATTTAGCTCAGTGGCATAAGTGCCTGCTTTGCAAACATGTAGTCAAGGGTTCGATCCCAGGTACCGATAAAAGGAAAAAATGGAGAGACAGGCAGCTCATGTTCTACACCCCTGCCCCCAGAGAGGAGGGCGGGATTGGGAAATCCTCTGGGACCCTGGAGAGCTCTGCTGCAGGTCCCGAGGCTATGGGAGCTGAAGGAAGGAACCTGCAGGTAGAGCAAAAGCCCCATAGGGGAAGGACGGTGGGCAGGGAGAGCCAGCCAGGGCCAGGAGACGCTGTGTGCCTTCCTGCAGCCGGTGCGCCGGGCCTCCTGTTCTGCGTCTCTTCCCCCAGCGGCGCTTTGTGGCTGAGTTCTTTTCTAACTCGGAATCCACCCGCATTGTTGACAGAAACCAGGTGCAGAGGAGTATGGTTGGGGGCTCTGGCCATGTGGAGCCCACAAGCCACCTGCTAATGGGCACTGGGATATGTGTGTTGGGCAGGTCAGGTTTGCATCTTGGGTGTGACTTCTGTAAGTGGGGTGACACTGCCACCTGGTTGGGGGAGCCTCACAGTTATTCCTCACCACTGAGTCACCGTCCTTGGAGAGGAGCCTGGTGTGAATCCAGCTTAGAACCTCACCCCCACTGCGTCGTGAGTGTGGCTGTCCTGGGCTGCTGTGTCACTCGTGGGTTTCAGCTCCTGGGGTGTGGGTCAGCATCCTGGGGCAGGCAGCGGCTTGCGTAGCCCTGTGCCCTGAGGTGCTGACTCCGACCACGTTGGGAGGTGAGGTCCTTTGGCTTGAAAAGAACTCAGATGGCTTCTGCACGTCTGTTGCCTTTACTATGCCTCCTGTGCTGCAGTAATACAGGCCCCTGTGTAGAAAGGCAAGTCACACCAAGGCCAGGAAAGGCCACTGTCGTCCGTTGGTGACAGGGGAGCTGCTCTCCTGTCCGCTTCCACAGCATGATATTAGCTGTGTGTGGCTGTGTTGTCAGAGCAGCGCTGAGGTGGCCCTGCTCATGCTCGGTCGATGAGGTGTGGGGAGGTTTCCTCGGTGGTACGTGTTTTCTGTGTTGCCAACTTCCCTTCAAGCCACCCTGCTCTGTTCCACTGTGGTTTTCTGCTGTGCACTGAGGTTGGTTTTTGTGTCCTAGATGAAGAAGTAGAGGATATGTACCTTGTGGACTTCACCCAGAAGATTATAGACAAACGCAGAGAAATGGAAGTGCTGGGCACTAGTAGAGAGCTCCGAAAGGTGGGCGACAGAGATGAGGACGACGATGTTCCTAGTGGAGATGTGCCCCCTCCTCAAGACCCCAGTGAAGAGTGGTAGGTACACTTGGGCAGCCTGGTCAGTGATCCTGTTGGACTGTCATCAGTCTGTTTCTCCTCACTCCCTTGCATTTCCAGTCCACTGAGACCCTGTGGTTGGCTTGGGCTAGTCACTACCGGTGTAGAATAGTAGCTCCAATGAAGAGACAGCCACACTAATGACAAATGACTGAGCAACACCCCTGCCCTGTGCAGTGCCGGACCCAGACACTGGGTGGCAGTGTCCTGCCCATTGAGGCAGAAGCCTGCTGCTCCATGGCCGTGCTTCAGCCTTGCCCGTGGCATGTAGAGCGTTGCTCTGTATGCAGCAGAAGGAGCTCAGGGTTTTCTGAAGCCCTCCTGTGGCAGAGCCTCTTTCCAGCAGTGAGGACGGAGGCATAGGCCTTGAGCAGCCCCAGTCCACTTTCCACCTGTTTGATCTCAAGTCTGGTTTCCTCTCCTATAGAGCTGATGATGCCTGGGTCCTTTGTTTCAGTCTCCCCCAGATGTAGGGTGGTCTGGGCTTTGGTCAGCTTTGTCCCTGAAGTCTGCCTGCCTTCTGCCACATGGGTGAAAGGTCAGGAACCACGCCAGACTTGCTATACAGAGATCCTGGAGCTCGGAACTGTGTGCTGACATCTCTGCTGTGATGGTGTCTCTCCATCATTTGTGCAGTGGAGCTTGAGAGCCTGAGAGATGCACTCCTGGCCCTCACCTGCCTGCCCTGCTGCGGGGCTTAGGTGTCCCCACAGTGGGTGGTGCTGTAGCTCTTGGTGTTCCCAAGAGTGTCCTTATCAGTCCAGCAGCAGCCTTGTCCTTGGAATGAAGCAGTTGTCTTCTTCCTGCTTCTAGAAGCTTCTGAGCAGTCATGACCTATTTAGGTGGGTGTCTGGCTTCGTGATATGAAGACCAAAGACGAGTACTAGTCCCTTGCCTGCACCTTTCGTCACCTTTGCTCATCACTGAACCCGGGCGCGCTCAGTGTGCTTCCTGTTTCCTGGTCCCGCCTTGCACTTCTCGTTGGCACAGATCAGGGCTCGTGGCCAGGAAGAGACCTGGGGCAAGCTCCAACAGCTTGCCCTGCGCTAGTGTCCCCAAGCGTGCCTTGGCTGCCTAAGCCCGGGAGGTGTGACCAGCCTCTTGCTGGCCCGGCCTGTCCCTTCAGGGCAGAGTGGGGCTGGAGCAGAGAGCCATGGCTGCACCGTCTCCTGTCTCTGTTTAGCTGGGATCTCTGTGTTTGGGAGGCCAACTCCAGAAGCAGAGGAGGCTGCGGTTGCTTTTCACAGCAGAAATCAGTCTTCTTTCAGAGCTTCAGTGTCTCTTTTTAAATTGTTGCTTGCTAATGTCTGTATGATTACAAGCAATGCGCAAACCACGAGAGGAGTCTGGGGGCGGCTGAAGGTGTCACTGCTGCCATATGGTGTAGGAAGATGGACTGTGAGCAGTTTTGACACTTTGCTTGTTTTTAAATTAAGCTCCAGAATTGTAACTGCTCATAAAATCCTTTTAGTAGTTCAATCCCAGGTGGTGGAAAATCTTCCAGCAAAATACTATAAATAATCATGCAGACCATCTGGCTTGGTGGTTTTGTCCCCATTCATTAAAAAAAAAAGACAGAAAGAAAAAGAAAAAGGAACTGTTTTCTGAAGTTAGAGAGGTTTTATTTCTTGTGATAATCAGCCATCAAGACTGGAGTAGTGGATTCCGAGATGTTCAGTGTTTAAATTCTGGGCCAGCAGTTAAAATCAGCATTGCTTGGAAGAAAAGGAATTGCCAAACAAAACAAAGCCCTCAGGCTAGATATGGTAGGACACACCTGTGAACCCAACTCTCAGGAGGCTGAGGCAGGAGGATCCCTGTGAGTTCAAGACCAGCCTGGGCTATGTAATGAGTTCCAGGATGAGGCTGAACTACACAGCAAGACCTTGTCTCAAAAAAACCCACAGAGCCCTCATCCGGGCAGCATCTGACACTGAGGCAGCCCCCAGCTCATACTTGTTGGGCCCTTCCACCTGCTAAAGACTGAGAGATTCCCTGCCTGAGATCACACACTTAAAACTTGTTCCCTCACAGTGCATGCAGGTTTTCTTGCACACTTGTTTGTGTGTCCTGCTTAAGAAATAGTCACTGTTTTCATTTCGCCCTGCCGTCTGCCCTGCCTGTCTCCACGTTCAGTTTGGGCAGAGACTAGGAGAGCACTGTATTGCTTCACCCGCTTCTCATCAAGAGTCCAAGCAGTACCTTGACTTGGGAGAAGTTGTGTGACCTGGAAAAAATAAGGGAACAAATAATGCAGATTTGAGAATATGGAGCTGTGAACAGTTAGAATCTGGGGGCAGGGTGAAATTGTTTGGATGTTGATAAAACACAGGGTTATTAAGGTGGATTAAAGGAAGTTCTTAGAAATCACAACAGATTTCTGTCTGAATTAGAGGTGTAAATGATGGGTTGCTTTTAGTTCTGAAGCTAAGGTTTGCAGAGCACGCACACCAAGCCTTCATGCCAGAAGCTTGTATGGGGTGGTGGCCTGGGCTGAGGGTGCTTCTGCCAGTGAGTCTAGCTCCTCAGTGCACATGGCTCCCTAGTCCAGGGACCCCAGTGCATGTGCCCAGCCTTCCCACCTTCCTCCTTGTGCTGCAGGGTGGATTACGTGGACTCTCTGGGACGATCCCGGCGGTGCATGAGGAAGGATTTGCCAGACCTGCTGGAAATGGACAAGAACCTTCAGGGGAGACTGTAAGTGCTGATGTGCGGACCTTGCCTGGTCTCAGATGTGGCTAATGGGGTGGTTTTGAGTGAGAGGCTATTCTTGTAAGATGTTTTTTAGTGGATAAGAATATTTGTTGGAGCAGTTTTAATGGTCAGCACACCTATACACATGTAATCTACACTCAGAATAGCCTGAATGACTGTTCTTTTCTGGTTTTGATTATTCTTTTTTGAGAAGGAGTTTTGCTGTGTTGCTAGGTGGTCTTGAATTCATGGGCTCGAGCAATCCGCCTGCCTCAGCATTGCAGGTGTTGGAGACCACAGGCAGGACGGGCTCTGATGGCCCAGTTTGTGCAGTTGTTTGAAACAGTGTATCATTACAGACTAGCGCAGGGACAGAGTCCAGGCCAGCCCAGCAAGCCACTCTATGGGCACAGATTCACCTTGAGAAGAGACACTTATCCCTGAGCCAGAGTGGCAGCTAGCTTCTCACTTTTTCTTTACACATCTTGGAAGTCAGAGCCTTCACTAAAAGCTAATTTTTTGTGGGCAAACCCCTGGGGTAACTGGCTAAAACATCCTAGGAGGGAGAAACTCTTATACAGGGGCACTTTGTGGGCCTCCCCTGCAGGTTGGCCTGGGCTCAGTGCAAGGAGCAGACCCAGAAACCCTGGCCATCAGCAGGGCAGGAGGCTGCCCAGAGTGAGCTGGAGTCTTCTCCTACCTGGGCGTCTCCGCTGTCAGTCTAGGACTGGGTGCTGAGTGGGAGGTGGGGTCCCACCATGCCGGAGTGAGTCTTGGCTGGGTTTAAGGAGGGGGAGCAGCTTAGTGGCCTTTTTTTTCTGGTGATAGTGGCGAGAGACCCCTGTGGGGACCATGTTCCTTTGTCGCGGCACTCACCTGGCAGTGGTGTGTCCCTTTCCTGTCCCACTAGTTTCGTGAGTCCTGCTAATGAGAAGACGCTGCTGTCGGAGGACATGAGGAAGGAGCTTCAGCGCCAGCAGTGGGAGGAAGAAGAGCGGGAGGCCCTGCGGAGGCCTGTGGGGCCCGTGCACTACGAGGACATCCGGGAAAACGGTACGTGTTTGCTCACACTGCTGACCGCACATCCTCCCTACCCAGAGAGACACATGAGGGTCTGTTCTGCTGGCTTCCCGGCCTCACAGTCCACAGGCTTTGACATTTTCTGGCAGAGTGCTGTGAAGCTAGAGCTTCTTCCCTGAGCAAAGTAAGGGTGGGCAGGGCGACTCATGGCCTTTGTTGTGCTCGTCACCCACAAGCAAGACAGAAACTGGCTGCTACTGCTGCCGCCACCGCCGAGGCTGCCCTCTGTAAACTTGTGCACATGTTGTGCTTCTTGTTTTGGTGGAAAGTTTGCCTTCACTGTCATGACTGATGAGGAAAATCTGATCTTCTGAACAATTTGACTCTTTCCAGAGGCCCGGCAACTTGGTGTTGGATATTTTGCTTTTGCCCAAGACAAAGAGCTGAGAAACAAGCAGATGAAAACCCTGGAGATGCTACGGGAGCAGGTACAAGGGCTCCAGTCAGAGGAGGTGGCAGGGAGGGGCCGAGCTAGTCTATGAGTTACACTAGGAATTTAAATTGATCCTCAGAATGCCCTTATGTAACTGGGCATTGTGCCCACTGTGTTCCCTGGGGAGGCTGAGGCAGAAGGATTACCATGAGTTGGAGGCCGGCCTGGGCTGCACGTAGTGTTAAAGGCCATTCTAGCTCAAAGAAAAAAAAAAACCCACAAAAAACAGAAAAATGATACTGAATAAAGATGATTGCCATGCTGTTTTGGTGTTTCAAAATGTAAAATTAAGAACTGTTTCAGAAGTAACCTGGCTTCCTTTTTTGAGGTAGCAGGGTGCCAATATAGAAACTTATTAAAAGAATTAATGAAGAAAATTGGATGTTTTTCTTCCTTCCCTTCCCTCCCCTCCTTTTTTGTTTCTTCTCTGTCTCTCTCTTTCATTTTTGGTGGTCCTAGGAATCAAGCCCAGAAACCTCACACTGAACCATACTGAACCATAGCTCACCCTTCTTTTATTTTTCATTTTTAGATAGCTTGCTAAGTTGTTAAGTTTCCCAAGCTGGCCTCAAACTTGCAACCCTCCTGCCTCAGGATTATAGGTGTGCACCCCATTCCTCGAGTGGATGGTTTTCTTGAATCTGAAGGGTTCGAGGGTGTTTTGTGAACTAGACTGCATAAGATAACAGGTCTGTGTAATGCCTCATAGGTCTTCATTATCAGGGTCCCTAGGATAGCCTCTTAGTGGTGTCATAAAACAAATAATTTTTAAATTTCTGTTCTGTTTAGACAACAGATCAGAGAACGAAACGAGAGAACATAAAGGAGAAACGAAAGGCCATATTAGAAGCAAGACTTGCCAAACTTCGACAAAAAAAGATGAAAAAATCAAAAGAAGATGGGACAGAAGAAGAAAACAGAGGTACATCAAGGCTTCAGTTTCCACACGTGGGAGGGGAGGGGGCTCTGAGTCCTCGCTACCTGGTTGACGTGCTTGGCAGTGTGGGCAGCGGCACTTGGCTTTATCTAGGAGCAGGCAGCTCGCAGCCAGGTGCTACTCAGCCGTTCCTAAGCAGAGTGAGGCAGACAGCCCTGCAGAATCACTGACAGCGGACAGGGGTGTTAATGACTCTCAGTTGTTTCTTAGAGGGTTACAGTGTAGTAACAGAGACTTAGAGAAAAGGTATCTTAAGATAAAATTTAAGTGTACATATATATGATTTTATACTCAAATGTTTAAATCTAGATTTATACTTTAAGCATGTGGAAATAGCATTGCACATGTGCATGGAACCCATATGATACATGGATATGTACACACATTGTGGAGTTTTTATCCGGGCAAGCACGTCTGTGTCTTCAGACTTCTACTGAGTTTTCATGGCAGACACACTGGGCACTTTCTTGAGCACTGTGGATGTTGGGGTTTTGTTCATGGCTGTAGTTTTTCTTCTGGTATACTGGCCATTTTGTCTTTTGAAAACAGATCATGGTAGTGAAGTGTTCAGGATGTGCAGACTGCCAAGGCAGGAGTGCTGCCCAGTGGGCAGTTTGGAGCCTGGAGCCAAGACCCTTTGGTAGCCCTGTGAGTGCTGCACTCCATGAGCCCACGTGAGGTGGCTTAGGTCAGAGCTGAGCTGCCCTGACAAAGGGATTCCTGAGGAAATGAGTATTGGCTTCTCTGTCACACATCAGAGCAGGTGGGCAGGGATGCATCTGGGGCAGTACAGCCCTGCCTTGGGCCATGTAGTCCCTGGCATCTTTTGAGTGTTGGTGTCATTTCATGGCTGACACCTTTCCTGTGGCACTTGCTGCTGATCCTGCCCAGGAGAGGGGCAGAGCCCATGTCCTCATAAGAAGGTGAGGCTGAGGTTACCACAGTTTGGTTCTCCCATTGGCTGAGCTCAGGTCCACAGCTGTGCCCAGCTGCAGGGGATGCTGGGAAATGGCCTCCCCAGTAGGGAGGCCACATACCCCAGTGAACCTGGGGGCAGGCATTCTGTTCCCAAGGGACATGGGGAGCTACTGTATAGGGACAGAGATGGCTTCCCTGCAGCTAAGGGTAGCATTTATCTCTGGACCAAGCTGTGTTTAGCTTTGAAAAGATCCAGGGAAGATGAAGTGAACAGACATCTCTAGTGTCACATAAGTGCTGGCTCTGGGATGTGGAGGCCCTTCCTGGTGTGTCTTTTGCTCTGTCTCCTGCACATTTTGCTCCCCAGAAGATGGGAGCTGCCACCAGAGCATTTTTAAGAAAAGCATTTTCTTTAAAAAAAATTATAAAGTTTGACCCAAATGGAATAGCCCACAGCAGTCTGTGACTTGTACCACCTGGCTCCTTGTGCTTCATCTTCGAGTTACTGAGTGATTGGGAGCCGAGCTCCTGCCGTCAGTGAAGCAGGGTGGGAGTGGGCAGCATGGGCACTCAAAGTGTCCTAGGCCTAGTCCCTGCCCCTACCACCGGCTGCCCATGTTGCTGGGATGACTTTTCTCATCAGTGAAGTGGGAATGCTGAATCCCTTCAACTCACAGGACTCAGATGACCTGCTGTGCACAGCGCTGAGAGAACCTGTGACCTGGGCTTTGGCGGCCTTTCTGTAGATGCTGGTGTCTCTTACCTTTACTTCCAGGATTAGCACATTCAACATTTGTGTTCTAACAAGGTCTTCTTTCCTACAAATGTAGGTGGGGATGCTGTAGGACCTTTGCTACCAGAACCTGAGCCTGTGCCGACCCCGCCGCAGACCCAGAGCAGCAGAGTAGAGGTCATCACCCAGGAGAGGAGGGACACACGGCCTGGCGTGCCTCACATACGGGAGTGGGACCGTGGTAAAGGTGAGGAGCGCGTGAGGACTTCTGCCCAGTGTCGTCTGCGTGCTCACCTCATATGCTGCTGGGAGCCAGGGCCTCGTGTGTGCTCAGCAGGCGCCAGCACTGATCTGCATCCAGCCCACCAGGAGCAATAGCTGGGGACTGATCATTAATATCAGCAGCCTCCCAGTTAATGTAAAAGGGCTGAATTGTGGGGGAGGGGACATGTCACGAGCAGTCCTTGGAGGCCTTGGGAAACCTCAGATCGCTGACTCAGGTTCTCCAGCACCCCAGACCCTGTGTGTAAACAGGAATATTGGCAGAGTGACTGCAGGGATCCCAGGGAACACATCCTGCCCCACAGAGATGGTTCTGGGTGCTCTTGGGGAGAGATTTTGGCCTGTGCTCCTCCCATGTGGTGTCACAGGCTGAGGGTTGCCTGTCGGGAGCCAGTTAGAGCCTCGTGACTGAGGTACTAAGGACTGTGTGGAGCCATTTCTTTAGCTGAGTGAGGATGGTTCCCTGTCAGTCACCAACCTGGCTTCACCTGTGCCCCTGTGGGGCGCACAGCTTTTCTCTGAGTTCATCATAGAGCTCACCGCGGCCTCTCTGGAAGACTGGTTCATACAGTCTTTGACTGATTGTTTCAATGGGAAGTGAACACAAGTTGCTTAAGCTCATAAGACCCAAAGCCAAAGGAGGAGAAATGCCAGACCACTGTGACAAGTGGAGATGAAATAAACAGCCTGTAGATCTGGACAGGTTTTGTTGGCATCTTCCAAAACTCCAAGACACAGCCTACCATGCCATGTCATACAAGTGATGTGACTCTCTGGTACTTCTCTCTGGTTCATTTTAGTGCTTTTTTAGCATTGCCCCCAAGCCTTACAGCCTTCTCCTCAAAGCCCTGCTTTGAAATCTCCCTGTTGGGAAGTAGCCACTGCCTTTTCTTAGTCTGGTCTCACACTTTTTGCAGGTATTGCTTATATAGCTTGTGACATGATTTTCTTGGTACTATCCTTACTTTCTGGAGAACTGGTGGCTTTTAAGAAATCTGGAAGTTTGGCTGGGCATGGTAGCACATGCTTGTAATCCCAGCACTGGGAAGGCTGAGGCAGGAGGATCACTGAGTTCAAGACCAGCCTGGACTATATATAGTGAAGTCATGCCTCAGAAAACTAAAACCAAAATTAAAAAAGAAAGAAAAGAAATCCGTAAGTGTAACTGATCCGCAAATGGGTTCTAACATTACTCTTTCTCATTTTCACCAGAGTTTACCTTTGGACACTGGTCCACGAGGCAGTCAGCTCTCCGGGCTGAGCGAGACCCTGAGTTTGCTCCACCATCAGATTACTTCATGAGTCAGAAAAGAGGGGGATCTTCAAACAACCAGACATGGGGCAGACCCGGGCCAGCACCGAGCTGCCCTGGACAGCAGGCGGGCCAGGACCAGGAGCCCCACACTGTGCATGTCCCACCCACGCCTGCGCCTGGAGGCCCCCCACGGGCTCCCACAGTCACCTTCGCAAGTCTGGATGACATGATCTCGTACTATAAACAAGTGACATGATCCTGGCAGCATTCTGACTGGGCTTGTACCATGGGTGTAGAAGGGGACAGTGGGCCTTGGGGCTGAGCCAGCCTTCATCCTCCTGCCCTCCACTCAGGGACAGTAGATTCCTGGCCCCTTGCTGCCGTCCCCTTGCTGGTACAGCACAGCCTCCCTGCCCACTTCTGCCTGGGGCAGACAAGTCTGTGCTATAAAACTGGATGCTGTGGTATTTGTGGCCCTGTCTCTGTCACCTGCACCCTGGTTTGGGGCCAAGGGATCCCTTTCACTCTTCCCAGCTGGGCAGGTGGAGGTTTCACTCCCAAGACTCAGCTTTTACTCAGGTAGAGAAGCAAGGGCCCAGGGCACCCCATGGAAGGGCCTTACATGAAGGCAGAAGGACCCTGAGTCTTGGGCCCCAGGGGTGGAGGTATGGGACAGCATCCCATCAGGCGCCAAGAGACCAGGTGGAGCAGCACCTCCATAATCCAGGAAGCCAACAGAGTCACCGGCTTCCATTGTCATGTGTTCTGCACTCCACACCCCTGTGCACTATGGTCATCTGACACGTGTGCCAGTGATTGGCATCCTGCGCTGCGGGGCCTGCTCAGAGGCCACGTTCCTAGTGGCTTTAATCAGAGTTGTTAGCTCCTGAATCTAGCCAATGCCCCTCGCTGCCAGGCCTGCCTTCTGGGTCAGACTTGGACCTGTGTGGTGGGGTGGGCAGGGATCAAAGGCCACCCACAGTCTTGTGCCTGGATCCTGTCACAGCCTTGGGGCAAGTAGCAGGGAGTTGGTCAAAGGTCTTGGGCTCCTACAGCCAGCTTCAGGCTGGTAGCTCATGAAAATCTTAACACAAATTTATTTTTAGTGCCACAGGTTGAACCCAGGACCTTCATACTGAGCTGCATCCCCGCCTGCCTTTAATTTTGGAGTCTAGGGTCTCTGTAAGCCACCATAGTCCCAGCCTGGATCTTGAGTCCTGCATCAGCCTTCCTTCCTGCAAGGATTATAAGTGTCCAGCTAAGCACAGGTCTCCAAAGTTTGCTGAGGCTAGGGAAAGAGAGAGGAAAGATTCCTCCATTCCTGGCCACTTAGTGGCATTGGCCCCAGCCTCTCAGTGTGGATGGGTGTGCCTGGATGTGGCATGGCTGACACATGGTGTGGCAGGATCTGGATTTTGCTCTCTCTAGTGCTCATGGCTCTAGTCTTCCCCTGTGTGCAGCAAAAGATCTCGGCCCTAGAATCTTCCCTCAGTGTCAGACCAAGGACAAAATGCCCTATCTCTATTATTCTGTTATAGGCCTTACCAGGATAATTAAGTCAATACACACTAAAACATGCTAACCTAGTTGCATTGTTTGTAGAAATTCATAGGCTGTTCTTAAAACTCATTTGGTTGTGCAGGAGACTGGAGTAGCCACATTAATTGTGTTAGGAACAAAACTGGGACTCCCTTCCTGGTTTCAAGATGTCCTACAAAACCTCCATTGTCCCTGGCACAGGGTGAAGGAATAGAGAAACCCACACTCCTGGTCAGGCAGCTGTCAACAAGGGCACTAGCCCCGTGGAGCAAGAGCAGCATCTCCAGATTGTCTGTGCTAGCTCCTAGCAGGAGCAGGAGCTCCCAGCTTTTCCTCAGACCCTGTACAGCATCAATACCTGGTGAACCAAGAGCTCAAAGTAAGGGTTAAGGCAACGAAGCCATCTGAAACAGCTCATAGGATAAGGAAAGAAAAGAGAAAAGCAGAAATGGAACACTAAAAATCACTAGACTTTTAGAATGATAAATGGCGGAAAAAAAGATAAACACTGAATAGATGATGCGGGGAAGATGGGAAGAGGGTGTATTTGTAAGGAAAGTGCCCAGAGGACATGAGGAAGAAGATAGAGGCAGCCTGGCGCTGACAGTGGCCTCAGTCGCTGAGCTGCTAGGCAGTGGGGTGGCCATGAACAAGCTGCAGTTGGGGGGTCCTCTGGGAGTTGCGAGCTGTTTCTACAAATTGTCCCCCACCCCCGCCCAGTGTAAATTTACTTCTGTGCTTTGTGAGCCCCTAGTCAAAGGATTCATGCCCTCAGGGAAAGTCTTCCTGAGCCTTCCAGCCCATTTTGTGCCAAGGTGTGTGTCCAGTGGGTGGCACTAGAGTTTGTGGATTCTGATCCCTGCTCTGCAACAGCACTGTCAACAGAATCGCCATGAGGCCTGCAAGGTCATTTTCTGTTTTCTAGGAATCCTACTAAGAAGGTGAAATTAATCTTAAGATACACTGTATTCAACCCAGTGTATCCAAAGGAGTGTTTCAGTATGCAGTGAACAGAATGAATGAGGTATTTTACATTTCTTTGAAGCATTCTACCTCAGCCTAACTCACTGTGGATGCTAACTTTTCCATAGGAACATTTGATCTCTAGGTGTCAACATACACAGTTGAAATTAGATCCACACTATATCCAATTATTCCAACCTACCTAACTTTACTTAAAAGGTTTCTAATAACTGAATCCAATGTCAGGTGTTACTTTTGTTGCTTCATTTGGTCACAGTTCCATCCCGTTTAAAGCAGAGGGAAGAGCAATTTAACCCTGTAAATGTAGTTTAGGAATTTACAAGATGTTATGGCTTATTTAAATATCCCCTCAAAGCCTCATGCAGTCATGGAGGTGGCTGAATCTAATATTTGCAGTTGGTTGGTTGTACTTCCGTCTTTTGCCCTTTCACTCTTGTAGCTCGCAGCCACCATGAATGATTGCCTCTCCTGCTTGGAGCCAACCTGCTTGGAGCCCCTGAGTATGTAGTGAAAGGTCCAAAGAACTATAAGCTAAATAAATCTTGCCTTCATTTTGGGTGTCACATGTTTTGTCTCAACAACAAGGGAAAGGTAACCAAGACATAAGCCATAAGAAATGTTTTAAGTATATTAATTAAAAATACCAACTTAAGCCAGGGATTTAGCTCAGCAGCATAAGTGTTTGCCTGGCAAGTGCGAGGTCATGAGTTCAATCTCTAGTACCAAAAACAAACAAACAAAAAACCAACTTAAATTGACAACCAAAGTAAATTTGTCAATTAGCTAAGACTTGTAACTCAATTTTTCCCTTATCCAGGGAACTTCCCTCAAAGGAAAGAAGGATTGAGCCCTCTCTTTAGTCTTCGGGAAAATAGAAGATTGTGGACATCTTTTTGGCATCTTTTAAAATTTTTTTTCCAAGGATAAAGTTGTTCTTTTTCTCCTTGTGCCACTGTGGTCAACATGCCAGGCACTGGGTCCTCCTTAGCTCACACCAGCCCCTGTTGAGGTGAAGCCTCTCGTTCTGGGTGTTGGAGGTTATGTGCTGAGGGTAAGGACTCCAGTGCGGTGAGGGGGCCAGAAGTGAATCCTTTTGTGTTTTATTTACTCCTCAAGTATTTTTAGGGGAAGGAGGCTCATTGGTCCTTGTTGCTAACACAGAGCATAATCTGTCTCCTCCTGAGACCCTGATCTTTATCACTAATAAAATTAGTCAACAATTGATGCTAGCAATAGCTCAGCAGCATAAGCACCTGCCTGGCAAGTGCAAGGTCATGAGTTTGATCCCTAGTACAAAAAAAAATTTTGATAAACCCAGTCCCTGTCCAATCTGAACTTCAGCCAGAAGACACAGTGAGGATGTGAGTTTGTGGCCAAATGAAACAACAATATTTTATTCCTCTGATTTTTTTTCTTTGAAATAGGATCTCCCTAATAGTTCAGGCTAGCCTCAGACTCACTATGCAACTGGACCAGCCTTGAACTCAAAGCGATCATCCTGCTTCAGCCTCTTGAGTGCTGAGCTTGCAGACATGTACCAACAGGTCTGACAACAATATTTTACCATCTGAGCTTTCTGTTTCTTATCCATAGTTGTTGTCCAAAGTCCTTAAGGACAGTCTGAGGGGATTATTGAGGTATTTATTCTTTGAATTCCTTGGTTCTTTAACTTATCTTGACTGGAAGGCACATTAATTTTCCATTCCATTTGTTCCAAACCCTGGGGCTCAATCTCTGGCATATGCTGAGACATTTTGCTTTGGTTACTTTTTGAAATCATTTTCACCTCACTTAAGGTCACTAGTCTCATCCAAGACTGTCACAATGTCACCTAAGATCATCTCAGCCTCACCTGAGGACATCCTGGGACAGGGATAAAATAATCCAACCACCACAGCAAGACTCAGTCACCCCTCAGGACTTTTCTTACGTTGGTTCATGCACAAAATTGGCTGGTCATTGTTGCCTCCTTTTGGGCTCTTTTGGGTTGTTGAGAAGTCTTTATCGGGTTCTCAGTCTGTGGGCTCGGGTTCTCATCCTGGAGAGCACTGCAACAAGGCCATGCAACATGGGATGTGTCTCCTCTTAGAGTCCTCATGCCTTAATGGGCTAGGGCCCCACAGTGGGCACCAAAAATTGTTGAAAATGAGCTGCCAAACTCTATTTGTTAGTACAGATAATGAAGCACTTACACATCAAAAAATCTCAATAAGACTTTTGCTTTTGCAAAGACACAAGCACACATTAGCAATGAGGTAACAGGTGCACAGGACAAAGGAGGGTCGCTCCTTTTATCCCTAACGGAAGAGCAGCTGCTTCATTCCTATTGGCTGGTTTGGAGGGTCACAGTTGATCTCAGTTGGCTCAGATGGCACACGTGGAATCTGAGGGGTTGCTAAGGGGAAAGGAGAGCAAAGAGAGAGGGACATGGAGGCCAGAAAATCCTTGGCCAGTGATAAGCTGTCTTTGGTTTGTAGCTGTGTTCCCAGTATTGGAACCGAGCAGGCATTTTCTGTAACTTAGTGTATTCAGAAAAGGCTATCTAGGATAGGTTAGATAGCCTATTTGATAGAAAAGACAGAAAATTACTGTTTCAAAGTTAAGAGTTTAGGTTCCTGTTCAGGACAGCACAACCCTAGAGATGTCTGCAACCCTCCCGTAGTAGCTCCAGGCTAGCACACAGGAAACATCTCAGGGGGAACCATGACCACACCCAGTCAAGCCTCTAGTCACCCGAAACACAGAAGAAATTTCTTTGAATTATTTGTTTTCACTGTAATTTCTCCTCTGGGCCTTTGTGTGTTTTGGTTTGGCTCATTTGAATTGGCTCAATAAATCAGTTTGTTCACTCACAGAATTCCCAAAGGAGAACATTCAACTCTGTACACATGAGATTCCTGCTGGGCTTAACCATCCATTTGCCAGGGACTCTGGTTTTTTCCAGAGGGGGCCCAGCCAGGGAGCATTCTGTAGCGTTCTGTAGCTCACCTGTGACCCACAAAGGGGGCATGGAATTTAGAATTTGGAATGGGGTGGGTATCAGTCTTCACAGTCAACAGAATAGCTATGCAGATGTGGGCCGCTTCTTTCTGAGGCAGTAAATCAAGTTCACCCACTTACATGTTGTACAGTTGTGTCAGGCCCTCCATGTCTCAGGTGATGGTGAGTGACTTGTGGCCCACAGCTCTGTGGACACCTACCTTCCTGTTTAGTGTGTGTGAGTGTGTGTGTGTGTGTGTGTGTGCGTGCGTGCGTGTATGTGTATGTGTCTGTGTGTGTGTTGGCTGAGGGACTAGGGACAATAGGTTATTGAGATTGTCTGGTAAAACTGGAAAGTCAAAACATTCATCTGAAGCAAGGCATCTCTGTGAAAACTGTCACCCAGCTTAGGCTGTGACTTGTGTGTGTTTAACAGTGCACCCAAGGCTGCAATGTGTGCTCACACATGGTAAGTGTGCACTTGTCTGGTGCTGGGAGAGATCAGAAACATCACTCATCTGCTCCTGACTTAAAAAGTTTCTCTGCTACATTCCCTGCAAGTCCATGTGCTTGGTGGCACTGCTTGATGACATGTGGCTGGGTTAAGAATTTCTCTGAGTCCCTGGGAATCTCTGTGTCCTCAGCTTCTTCCTGTACATCAGGAATCATTAACTTCCCTCAGCTTGAACGTGTGACCCCATCCAAGCCCACACACACTGTGGCTTGGGGTAGAGACCAGAGAATGCCAGAGTGGGCCCTGCACCAGCCAGGCCTCTAGGTCGGTCACAAGTGCCATTCAGGCTTGTGCTGCTGCTTGTAGGGACACCTTTCTTGTCACAAATTATTTTTATTCTGACTCTCTTTATATTGTCATATTACCCCATCTAATGTTTGACCCACATGGGTTTTCATGGAATGCATGTGTGTGACACGCACACAGCATTGGATTCTTCATTTCCTTTTGACATTCTAAAACTGAGCTGCCTGCTAACTGCAGCTGTGCCTTGTAGTCCACCTGCACCATGTTCAGCACTTCCTGTGGGCTGTTCCTTCATTCTGAGGCAGTAAATCAAGTTCACCCACTTACATGTTGTACAGTTGTGTCAGGCTTTCCATGGCTCTCCTTCTAGGGATGCAGTAGCTGTGAGGATCTTTAAATTTGACTCAGCAAGCATTAGTCCTCACAGCAGGGCCTCTCCTTACCCCTGCAGTGTCCCTAGGTGTTGCTTTCAGAGGCAAGGTCATTGGTCAAGGGACAGTAATCTTGGTACCTGATGGTCTTGTCAAGAGACCAGTGCATCTCCACAAAGCACCTGAGTGCCACAGTGAATATCCTAGTGGGGACCTGACCCTCTCACTGTCCTGCCCCATCCACTTCTCTGCTGCCCGACCTGAGGTCCCCAAGGGGTACTAGCAGCTCATGGAGGCCAGATACTGTTCTGTTCGTGAGCCTTGGTGGACTCTTTGACAACTGTATACTTTTCTCTGTGTTCTGGCAATGTCCTGCTCATTCTAAAATCAGTCATCCAGTCTTCATCCTGAATACATCTCTACAGGGAGCTCATGTCCTCCTTCTGTCCCCATGGACAGCCTGTCATGTATTCCTGCTTGTGACGTTCCCTGCTGGTATCTGCGCCCTCCTCCTATCCCGGTGGATGGCTTTTTCATGTATTACAAACCCATTTTGTTTAGTTCTTGAAGAACAAGGTCTATGTGAACAAAACATGACTGATGTGGAGATAACGGACACTGAAAATCAGGAATTGAGGACTTAGCATGGCTGGTTGTTATTTGGAAACTTCATCTGATGGAGGCAATAGAGATATGGCTCCAGTGGCTGGCAGATTTGAGGGGTTCAATCTTTCATGTGAAGGATATTTAGAGGAGAATAGGGTGGATGTTGGGGTGTCCCAGTGAACTCAGGGTCCCTGGCTCTGTGTGGACCCCTTTAATTCATGCTTTCCCTCTTCAAAGTAACTTCATGGCTTAAACCCTTCTCAGTGTCTAGAATCTTGACTATTATATGCATTGGTGTAGGGGTTTTTTTGTAATGGATAACTGGAGTTCTATATGTCTCAATTATCTGTATGTCAAATTCTTTTTCCCTGCTTGGGGTGTTTTCTACTATGACTTCTGTGAGCATGTTTTTTTAAAATGTCATTTTCACTATCTCCTGCTTTTTCATTGACTCCAGTCAATCAATCTTATGTTACTCTTCTTTGAATTATCTAGCAGCTACTGGATTGATTTCTCATTGTCCTATGCTATTTTTAAGAAATCTTTCTTTTCATGATCACTAACAGTATCTTCTACATCTGAGATTCTGTCCTCACATTGGCTCATTCTGCTATGCATACTTTAATGGAATTTTTAATCTCCTGGATATCTGTTTGAATCTGTTTCATGAGTTCCTTTTCTTTCCTATGTTGTGTGTGCATTCATTCTTTCCATCATTTTCCTAAGATCCTATTTTTTTATTTTAAAGCAGAACAGTAAAATGAAACAAAACAGTGATAGAACAGTAGGAAATTCACAATTGTAACTATATTGCATGTTGTTGTCCTCTAAATAGTTGCTCAGACTGCCAGCCCCAGACCTGCACAGTCAATCAAACACAGATGTCAGATCACCTCCCTACATCAGTTATTATCATCTCAGCCTGTGTTGTATGTAGTTGCTTAAAGGTGTAGGGGGCGGGAGGCAGAGGTGGCTTCCTGAAGCGGAGGATTCTGAGTTCAAAATTGGTCTGGTAACTTAGCAATTTAGCAAGACCCTGTCTCAAAATTAAAAAAAAAAATATATATATATATATATGCCTAGGTATGACCTTCAGGATGAAGGCCCTGGGTTCAAGTTCCCAAGGAAAACAAGCACATAGACCTAGTGACCAGAGTTTACAGGACCTGGTAGTTGGGACTTAACAGTGTCACCTGTTAAGCCGTGTGGCTGCTTTGAAGACAAGCAACAGAACCCGGGGCTACCTCATGACCCTGAGACAGACATCCTTAGTTGAGAACAGGAGACTCCATGGCCATGATGATTGGCACAGGGACAGGTATGTGGTTTAGGGAACAAAAGAGAGGTGGCAGCGACCTGCTGGCAGCATGCAGAAGGCTTCATGCGAGCATTCTGCAGCAGCCTTGTACACATGAGCTGACGTGTGGGAACAGCAACTGTCTATACTGCCCAGTGACTGGTCACCACGTGATGGTCCCACAGAGGAATAAGGTTCAGCCCTCAGTAGGGTGCGGTAAGGATATGTACCACACCGTGGGGGTCTCAGAAACATACCGAGAAGACAGCAAAGCACAGAAGGCCATGCGTAGTGTGGTTCTGTTTATCCGAGTGCCTTGAGCAGGAAAACCCACTGAGACAGAATCTAGGTTAATGGTTGCATGGGGGTGGGAGGAAATGGGGAGCAATTGCCAGTGGGTTTTCTTATGGGATGGTGAAACGGTTCCATATTAGATAGCAGTGTGGTCATACAGCTCTGTTAATGTTTTAAAAACTATTGTCCGTGTTCTAAAGGGTGACTCATATGGTGTGTAGATTCCAGCTCAGCAAAGCTGTGTTCAAAATCAGCTTTGTGTGTTGTTGAGTTGTGTTTCACAATCAGCCTCACAAGAAAAGGGCTCCCTGGAGAGGGCAGGAGAACTGTCCAACAGGGGTTTTCAGGGCTACATCAGTTATCTTCTCTTTGAGACCTGGCTTGGAAAGAAGGAAGGGAGGAAGGAGGGAAGGAAGGAAGAAAGGAAGCTCTGTCCTGCATGCCAGGGTCTGATCCTTGGGCTGGCCATCTGGGTGTCACTGTTTTGAGCGGAATGGAGCACCAGGGTCAGCTGAAGATGCAGAGACCACTTTTTCTGCAGAACAGTGGTAAATCAGCAGAGGGTTCCTAGAAATTACTCTGAAGAGTGAGCAGGGGCAGGACAGCTGACAGCCCTGTAACCAAGGGAGGTACAGGCTGTGGCCATGACCCTGCTGTGTAGACACTGCCTACAAATGCCAGGAGAGCTGCCTGGGACAGGGGCCACTAGCTGGAGAAGGAGAGCAATGGGGACAGCCAGGCAGAGGAGGGTGAAGTGGTCACCAAGAGGAAGGCGGTGATGAGATGGCAGAGGTGGCCTGAAGGTGTCCCAAAGCCCCACCTCCCCCAGGCTGATGGCCACTGTCATGGTAAACTGGTCCAGTGGGACCAAAAGCTAAGGACACTATGTTGAGACACTGACCAAGGCCATCAGAGGGGACTGCACGTGCTCTCTTTGCCAGCAGACTCACCTTGTTGTACATCCTGCATTCTTGAGTCTCCTCTTCATCTCACAACACCCCTGAGAATCAAAAGGAATAAACTAGCCTTTTCCTAGCATAAGGCCAAGAGGTGCCTTTACATTTTTACCAACATATTTTATAAGTTCATCTACAAATTTACCACTCCAGACACCCACTTGATGAGCTCAGAGCCCACAAGCAATTCTGTTGAAGTGGGAAAAGCGTTCGTTATCATGCTTTGCTTTAAAGCATGCAGTCTCTCTACTTTAACTTCCCTGACAGTGTGATTTGCATACTGCTGAACGATCCATCACACAATCATCTGTCTTTTTCTAGTGAGACAGTGTGTGTTTCTATCAGCGATGTCTTAGATTTGGTAAAAGTAGCCACTTGCAGTGTTGAGCTGAGTCACTCTATTCCTCCCACGTGCTCTGGCTGTGTGTGTTAGGTGGCTTGTCCCATCCCACACTCCTGCCACCTGTCTTGCAGAGAGCCTATGACTCACCTCTTGTCTCTTCAGGCTCTGCCCATTGATGCTCTAAGTAAGAAAGGACCGGTGAAGCTGCCCTTGATGCTCTAAGTAAGAAAGGACCGGTGAAGCTGCCCTCTCTCCCTGGCCTTCTGCTGCAGGTGCTCAGTTGGGTGACTGTTCCCAGCGCTCCCCTGGGTCTCTCCCCAGCTCCAGGCCCTTCCTGGCATGGCTCACAAATGTTGGTGTCTCTAGGAATACCAGGGAGGGAGCATCCCTCACCTTGCTGGGGACAATCATAGTGACTTTATTGCCTCCTGGACAGGAAACCCTGGTTCCACAACCCGTGAGGGTCACTCCAGCACGGCCACTCCATCCTCTTCCATGGCCTTTCCATAGGTAAGAACTCCAGCTCTCCTCCATCATCTCTTCAGGGCACGCTGAGTCTCATAGCTTTAGTCCTGTTCGCCGAGATGGACAGTGTCACCTAGCAACACAGGCACTCAGGCAGCATGGGAGACGCCAAGAGTAACCGGGAACTCTACAACCAGTACCTGGCCATAGCCCCCAATCTGCTGGCCCATGTCTCCAAGCTCCTCACCTTCTGCCGCCTCTCAGGCATCCCTGTGCCCAAGGGCATCAGAAACATCTTCGAATTTACATGGGAAGAGCTCATCGCCGACCCCATGGTGCCCACTGGGTCCCACATCCCGGGCCTGGAGGTTAGCTTTGGAGCCCCACTGATGGTGCAGGTGGAGTCCACCCCGGCGCTGACCCAAAAGAAGCCGCCCCAGCCCCCATCACCAGTGTCTACAGGGCCAGTCAGCGCCAAGGCAGCCTACAACTCGGTGACACCCACCCACCAGGCGCCTGCGGGACAGGAGATGCTGCACAGATTCCAGCGGCAGTCAGTGCACCTGCTGACAGAGCTGCTTGCCCTGAAGATGAGAGCCATGGTGGAGGCCGCATCGGGTAAGGTGCCTTGCTGCCCCTCCCCACCTCCAGCCAGATGGGTACAGGGCAAGCAGCCCCCAACTGGGACTTGAAACTCTGCAGTGCCCCCACAACTGGTCCTAGCTGAGCGCCAAAACACCACAGCAAGTGTTGTTGATGCGCTTAGGTCACAACTTAGTTGCACTGAGAACTGTACGCAGGTATACAGAAGATGCCAGCCAGTCTCAAGTACAGGCTCACGGCCATGTTATTTCCCCATGCATCTGCAGATATTCCCAACTCTAAACAAGTCCCAAACTCAAGACGCTCTAGTCACCTGACATTTGGATAAGGGGTGCTGCCCTTGGCTATAATCAGTACATGCTGCCAAGAGTCATGGATGAGTTTAAGAAGTGAACTCCTCTCCTTTGCCCCTGCCACTTGCTGTTGTCCTCTTGCTGTTGCTTCAGGTCCTCAGCAGGAACAGAGACAGGCCCAAGGGACTGGAGTGAACATGTGGGATCTGGGAGTGCAGATGGCTGCCCCCAAGATGGGCTCCATGTGGAGACAGTGAGAGGCAGTGGTTAGACAGTGCCCAAGCAGCCAGAGTTGGGGGGGTCTGGAACTGGGGATCTCCAGTTGAGGGGATCTTGAAGTGAGGCTGACATCTCATGTGGCATCAGCAGTCATGCCTAGCGCCAGGCCTGTGGGCAGCAAGGGTGGCAGTGGGAGTGGCAGAGCCCTGGTGCCCAGCCTTCAGTTGTAGACCCCCTCTAAGGCCCATGCTCGCAACAGGAGCTAAGCTCCTCCCTCTTACTTCCTGAGCCACTGGTAAAGGTTTGGATGTGCCCAGCACACAGAGAGGAAGTGCATTCCTTCTGACCATTCCCTCACAGGTGCCAACCCTATGGACATCACCCGGCGCTTTGTGGAAGCCAGTCAGCTCCTGCACCTCAGTGCCAAGGAGGTGGCCTTCGACTTCCTGATGGGCACTGCAGGGAGGAGTGGTTACTTTGTGGGGGAGTCAGGGAAAGGTGGGTACAGAGGGCCGCCATGGAAGGACTTTGGGGTGGAGCATGCTGTCTGGAGGGCAGGGTGGCAATGGGGTCAGTAGCAGGGATTCCCTGAGACTCCTGGTGTGTGGCTGCCTGGACTAGGCCCCAAGCAGTCTCCAGACTCTTCTGGGTGTTCCTTTAAGCTGTGCTCTCAACCCCACAGTGAAGGGCCAGTTGTGAAAACCCCCATCTACGCCCACCACAAAAATGTCCAAGAGTTGCAGGGGTCTCTGTTGATTCTGCTCAGCCAACCTCACCTATAGGGAGTGGCATCTATCCCTGGGCCACGCTGCAGAATCACCAGCCCAGAAGGACCATGTGGACAACAGGAGATGGTAAACAAGAACCTAGTAAGACAGCAGGATGTTGGCGTGATGAGAAGGGCCAGACGGTGTAGCTCGCACATCGTGCACGAGAGAGAGCAGGGGGCGTGGGCCCTTCGCAGAGTTTAGGAGAGCCCAGGGGGATGATGTGAAAAACGCAAATGTGAACGTGTGAAGAGGGCCCAGAGGAAGCGTCCTCGGGGCCAGGAGGCCACAGCTCCACAGTGTCTGTCACACACCTCCTTCCTCTTTCATGCAGTGCCTGCGTGTGTGAGTGCGGGAGAAAGAGGCTCCCTCTCAGCAGATGTGCAGTATCCAGCCTTCCAGCTGCATCAGCTCTCTCCAGGCGTCAGGGCCCCAGCCTTACTCTTCTTGTGACTGGCAGTCTGCACAGGGCCCATCATCTCTCTTTGGCCCCAGATTGGCCCCAGTAACTACCATGAACTCTCTTTTCCCTGGGTGTTTTTGGATTCCGCATGTGTGAGATCATGTAGTATTCTTCTTGGGTGCCTGGTGTATTTTGTTTAGTACAGTGTTCCCCAGCCCCAGCCATGTCTTCATAAATGACAAGATGTCCTTCTTTTAAAGGCTAAATAGTATTCCACTGCAGCTATGGACCACATTTTCTTTATCCATTTGCTGATAGACACCAGGGTCGGTTCAAAATCTTATGTTGTGAACAGGGCTGCAGAGGGGCTGGAGTGCAGCTGTCTCTTCGGCACACTGAGTGCCTCTTCTTTGGATCTATGTCCTGCAGAGGGTGCTGGACCCAGTACAGTTCTGCCCCTCAGACTCTTGGAGGACCCTCTACTCAGTCCCAATATCCTCATGGCAGCACAGTAAGACTCCTTCCTCTTCACTTTCTGGCCAGCCAGCTTCTGTCCTGTTTCTGCTGCAAGCTGCTCCCTGGGCGTGTGCTCTGGATCTCTGCTTTCTGATGATTCATAATGCTGAACATTTCCCTCATACACCTGTTTTTTGACAAGTATCCATTCAGGTACTTGGCACATTTTAAAATTTTTAATTTTTAAAAAACTTTTTTGAAACAAGGTCTGGCTGTGTAGTCTAGGCTGGTCTTGAACTCAATGTGTAGCCCAGGCTGGCCTTGAACTCACTGTGTAGCCCAGGCTGGCCTTGAACTTGCCACAATCCTGCTTCAGCCTCCCAAGTGCTGGGCTTTACAGATATTTGCCCTCAAGCCCAACTCCCCATTTTTTAAAATCAGTTTTTCCTGGTAACATTTTATATCTCAAGGTGGGCAGGTAGGAGTGTTTGTTTTGGATGCTTACAAGTACCCATGTAGGAGGTTTTATAGGGAAGCAGTAAGTATTATCTATCATAGGTGTTCATCCTCGCTTACCAAATTGGCCCCCGAAGCCTCCTTCTCTGCCCACCACCAGTACTTTTGCCAGGCTCTCCTCCATGGTCAGAGGTTCAACACCCAATAATAAGCACATCCAGTAAAAAGAAACTGAATGATGAGACTAGGGACTTAGCAAGACCTTGTCTTAAAAAAAATAAAAAGGAGGTTGAAGATATTGTTCATGGAAGGTACTGGGTTCAACTTCACCTATAAAGACAAAGAAATAGATAAAAAGCAAGCTAGACAGACAGAGAGACTAAAACAAATGTCCAAAAAACAAACCACCTTGCCATATCTAAGATAAGAAGACCATGTTTTACTTTTGCATTTTCTTTGCAGATTTCTGTTCTTGCATGTGTACCTGGAGCTTTATATTTTGCGGGCTCTCTCTCCCGTTTCCCATACATGACAGACTACAGCTGCTAGCCAGGAATACAGCTCAGCAGTACATGCCTGTCTGGCAAGTGCAAGGTCCTGAGTTCAATTTCTGGTACCAAATAAACAAATAAAATAAATTCAGACTACAGCTGCTTCCAGCAGCTTCCTGCACTCAAGGTGCTCTTCTCACCAATACCCCTGCTCTGCCTGGTGCTCCTTGTACAGTGGCTGGCACGGTGTGGCTCTGAGCTTGCACCTCAGTTGTGGGATTGTTTACCTGGGAGGGATTATCAGCACAAGTTCGCAGTCTGTGTGTAGCTTTTCTCACTAAACGATGCTTTCTGCATGGATTCTCTGCACCATCGGACTGGATGGGTTCTGTTCCATCATCACCAGCTCTGACCTTGTTAGCCTTTTCACGTTTGCTGAATTAGATGGCACTATGAGGGCTTCTGACTCCTCTGCCCACGTCCTGGCAATGATGAGCCTACTTGTATTTTATAACCCAGGGTGTAGTTGCTGGTTATGATTGTCAACTCTGTCACTGTGACAAATACTGAGATAAATCAACTGTAAAAGAAGATGGGCCTGGGGATTTAGCTCAGCAGTGTAAGTGCCGGCCTGGCAAGCATGAGGTTGTGAGTTTGATATCTCTGGTATCACAGAGAGACAGAAGGAGAGAGAGACTCATTTGGGCTTGGGTCCCTTGGCTTTTGTTCTGGGCCTGTGACGGGCCGAGCACCAAGGTGAGAATTCGGGGTGCATTCAGAGAACAGGAAGGGGGGCCCAGACCTCTCAGGAGCACCACAGGAGGAGGTGGCTTTGGGGATGTTTGAAACCCACTTCAGGGTTGTCCAGAAAGTCAGGCTTGGTCCACCTGACATTTTCCTCTGCGAGTGTGAGTAGTAATGAATGAACGAGTTGCTGAATTCTCCCCCAAACCAGGGATGCGGCCACGCTGGAGGAGGAATAGGGGCTGGCTCAGTGGAGTTCATGTAAGGGTTGGGGTTTTCCACTAGCAATGAGGTTGGGAAGTCCAAATTCTGTTGTTTTGTTTCCAGAACTGAGGATCAAACCTAAGGCCACTCTACCACTGAACTACCTCCCCAGCCCCACTTATTTGTTTATTCATTCAGAGATAAGGTCTTGCTAAGGTGCCCAAGTTAAGCTCAACTGGAATTTTTCCATCATCCTGCCACAGCCTCCTGAGAAGCTGGAATTACATGGGTGGGCGTCACTGTGCTCAGCTCCACACCTGAATCTTCCATGGATTGTGTGCCTGCAGAGCCCTCTCTGAGCATAGCACCCCGTTTATGAGGTGGGCTGTGGCCAGAGAGGGGATCAGGAGCAAGGATGGTGCAACTCTTCGAGAAACTGTACACTGCTGGAGGGGGTCGACTTCCACGGCTGATAAGAATGGATGACCTTTAATTTCCTCCCTACTGGCCCAAGGTTTACCCTCCTGGCAGGTGCAGCCCTCAGACTGCTCTGGAGTAACGTTGCCCTGTGTCTGCTGCTGCTCCCAGCTCTGGTGCAAGTCACTCTTGAGAAAATGAGGAGCAGGGGCATCATGCAGGGAGGGGACCCCAGCACCCTGGCAGCCCACACTTAGTGTCCTGTTCCAGGGCCTGGTTGCTTTGTAACAACAGGACTCCTTAGAATATCTGGCCAGGCATACAATGGAAACAGAAAATCCACGTTGCTTTGATTTTGAAACCATTGGAACTTTCAGTGAGAAGAAGCATTCCTGTCTCCCTCTCCAGAGTCCTCCATGGACATCTCAGCCATGGGCGTGAACTCACCTTACCAGCTGATCTACCAGTCCTCCACAGCCTGCCTGAGCTTCTCCCTGTCCACAGGGAAGGACACCAAAAAGAAAGCAGGTGACAGGTCTCCAGTGGCTCTTCCAACCCATGACAGGAGTTGGATTGGGGGTTAGGAGGGATGGAAACCCTTGAGACCTTTGAGATCCCTGAGGTACCCACATCTGGGGGCTGGTAGGAGGGCTGTGAAGCTGCCCTGGGAGGACACCCAACCAAGGTCAACAGAGTCCTGTCCCCCTGCACGCTGATCAGCTGAAGGTGCCCTGTTCCTGATCCCATGGGTGCTATGCGCAGAGAGGGTTCTGCAGCCACACAGCAGCGCTGGAGTTTGTCGGGAGCTGTTTGGGCCCCATACTAAATCCACTTGCTTTCAGAACAGGATGCAGACATGGCTGACTCCCTGGCTTACTGAGGAGATGGAGGGAGGGACAGATGGTGGATGATTGTGGACAGATGATAGCCATGGCCTCACTGGGCTGTGATGATCTGGTGAGCCCTGCTGGTGCCCATGACACAGACATGAGGGCCAAGAGTGTGGTCTTACTTTGCACCCCATGATCTTGTGACTGCCCTCCTCAGCTGTACCCCTTTCCCGGAGAGGGGGCTGGTCGCAGAGACATCCCCAGATCTGTGCCTGCTCTTGCTTTTGTCACTGTCACTCTCTGCGCTCTCCTTACTCTGCCCTGACAGCTCTGACGTCCCCTTCACCATCATCAGAAAGAGTCAGCATCTAAGGACACCCATTCCTGAGGCAGTGATGACCTCCCCAGGGTTTCCTGCTCCTAGGTGATCCAGGTGGGGACTCATTTTCCTGAAACTCCCCTGACATCTCTCCTCCAACATCAGGTAAATCAAAGATGCCAGAAGACACATGCAGTGTGTCACCCTCCCCACGCGCAGTGGGCACCTCTTCTGATGCCACAGAGTTCAGCGATCTCTGTCCTGAAGCCCGCGAGAAGCTGCAGGAGATGTGTCGCCACATGTGAGCATGGGTGGCAAGACGGGGCAGGCACTCTTGGGGAGCCCTGTGTGCCTGAAGAGCTGGGTCCTACCTGGTACATGGCACCTGGCATCCTCAGGCCCTTTCTATCTGCAGAAAGGGCACAGGGTGGCCTGGGCAGTGAGGAGCTGCAGCCTGTCCTGGCTGTTCTCGATCTTGCAGCAGCTGCCTGGCTTGGGCACCTTGGTGTGGCACCTGCAAGTCATGGCACAGGGCCCAGCATTCATTTCTTAAGATGCCAACTGTTCTCCTACCAAAAGAAAAATGTACCTCTCAGAACAAGTAAAGAGCATTGCCATGAGTGACTCATGGTACTGATGGTTTGTGGGACACAAGGCCTCCCTAGGGCCTCAGCATTTCTCTCAGGGCACAGACCACAAAGAGAGTATGAACCAGTTTGTATCTCATGCCCAAGTCTCATGGCCCCTGGGGCAATGGGCAGAGGATGAGTAGGGGCAGCTTCCCTGTCCATCTTGGCTTGGGGACATCCCAGAAGGACTCTTGTGCCCAGAGCCCCAGGCCTTTGTTCCAGGCCCGCAGTACTTAGCAGGCCAAGGCTGGGTTGGGGGTACTGTGGCCTTCCCAGTCCTCCTCATTGCTGCTGCGGAGGACAAGGGAGGTAGGTGAGGTGCCCTAGGAGGACAGGGACAGTGCGAGAATGAGGCCAAGTATAAAGGACATACTGGTTTCCTACCCTGCAGAGAGGCTGAGAAGGCCCTGTGGAAAGGGCGAAACATCTTCTACCCCATGATCCTGCGCAACTACAAGACAAAGACTCCCTCTCAGCCAACATCGACTGCCAAAGGGGACTTGCACGGCTCGGGTCCCCATGCAAGTGCCCATGCCATGGGGCCATCAGCACCTACAGCTGGGTCTCACCAGCTCTTTGTCCAGCAGAGCCGGCACTCGCAGGACTTGAAGGTGTCCAAGAAGGCCGCCAAGCTGCACTACTCCTTCCAGGATGGCTCCTCCTTTGTGTAATATCCTTTCTCGGTGCCACCTTCATGCCTGGGGCCACCTGGTTTTTTGGCTATTGGAGAGGCCTTTAGGGATCTCAGTGGGGGTTGTGTAGCCTGGGTGCTAGAGTGTCAGATGAAGCCCTAAATTCAGTTCAGATCAGTGGAAACCCACTAACCCCAGTACAGGCAAGGCCGTATTGGGGTTGCCACCCTGCCTTCAGGGATGCAGAGGACCAGAGGCTAGAGACTTCTGGTGGCTGGGAAGCAGCAGCCTCTGTGACCTGTCCCTGTGGTCCCTGTTCTGTTTATTTGCACTGAGGTCTGCAAGGGCCCAAGCTACAGGTATGCAAGGGCAGAAGGGGATACAGCTTGTCTCTGAGAAAGGACAGCTCTGCCTGGAGGGGTACCCTGAGGCTACCGCCCTCTCCACTCCAGCTTGAGGCTGCCTACACCTGAAGGGCATCTGTGGTTCTAAAGCTAGGGCAGCACTGGGATGTAGGCACTGTGAGCAGATGAGGGGCACTGACAGAGCCAGTGTCCACTCTAGGCTGTGATGTCAACCATAGGACTCCACCAGGCCATCATTTCTAGGCTTCTCTGTGGAAATGGGGACCCAGAACCACAGGGCTGGTGTGACCTCCTGAGTGTTACCTAGGAATTTGGTGGCAATGCCTCCAATGAGAGCGAGAACCAGAAAAAAGGCAGGTGCAGCCTCACCAGGCTTAGGGTTCCCCTGCCTTGGGAAGAAAGGCACTAAGGAGGACTGTCCTAGTCACTTCCATGCAGGTCAGGGGGTGCATCTGGGCCCCCTTGCACTGGACAGGGAACTCAGAATTTAAATGCACTGTCAAAGAGGCCTCACTGTTTCTCTGTAAATGAATCTATTCAGGGCCACAGCAGGTTGGTGGGTGCTTCCTGGCTAGGGGCATCCCCCTTCCTGCTTCTTTACTGCTTTTAATGGGGTTGCTTCCCTGAGCTGACTTAGGTGTTGTCTGCTGACTTAGGAGGAACTGGGTTAGACCCTTTTTGCTTTCTTCTTTTCCCAATTTTCAAGGTCCCCAGGGCAGGGCCACCCCAAGTCTTAGACCATTGCTGCCCCCACAATGATCACATCCAATGCTCTTTGGAGGACAAGACAGGCTGGGGCTCAAGGTTCTGTTCTTGGTGGCACTGCATGCCTCAGTGGCACCCAGTGACCATCAAAGGGCAATGCTGTGTCACTCTGCTCAGATGGCTAACAGTGTGGTCATTGTGTGTTCCCTTTGAGAACGCAAAATAAGCCTGGAGAACACTTCACTTGGTGGCATCTGTAGAGTACTATTTACTTGGAGATAACTGGGAAAACACACATTTCTGCAAAGATCAACAAAGAAAAGCCCACTCTACTTGGGGTGCAGCAGCCACCATCAGCCCTTGGGGCCACCCACAGTGTCAGTGAAGAATCATGCTGTGGTTTTTACTTGTGCTCACCTACTGATCAGTGATGCCAAGTACCTTTTGTAGGCTTTTCTTTGTTGATCTTTGCAGAAATGTGTGTTCAAGACCTGGGCTCCTGTTTAGTGGAGCTGTCTGTCCTTTTTTATGATGGTAAGTGTTCTTCAGGTGTTGTGGGTACTATGATCTCCTCAGATATGTGATCCAAAATAGTTCCCACTCTGTGCATTGTCTTTTCACTCTCTTAATGACATTCTTTGGTAAACAAAAGTTCTTTTTGATTAACTAACTTATTATTGGTGTTGAGTATCTTACCAAAGACCATGCAGATAGGTCTCACACATACAGAAGCACAACTTCACTAAGGTGCATTGTGTTGAATGATTTTGTGGGTGAACCCCCTGCATCCCTGGTCAAGCCCTGTAGGGTCATCATGCATAGTCCTTTAAATGCTGTTGAAGATGTGTGTGTGTGTGTGTGTGTGTGTGTGTGTGTGTGTGTGTGTTGGCAAGGAACACTGGTCTGGAGCTCTGTCATGTCTATGCTGGGTTTGATGTCAGGCCAGCTCTGGCCTCATATACTAAGAGGGAAGCATTCAGGTCTGCTCCTCTAAGTTTGGGTTTGTATAAGGAGGATTGGTGTTAATTCTTTTTTACATGCTTAATACAGCTTACCAGGGAATCCAGCTGGTCATGTGCTTATCTTTGTTAGGTTTTGTTTTGTTTTTCTCTCTTTACTTGCTATATATCTACTCACATTTTTCTATTCCTTTTAGTCATTTTGGTAGTTTTTGTGTTTCTAAGATTCATTTCCTCTAAGTCATCTAAATTTTGGTATAGTATTATGCACATTTTGTGCCTTTATGATCATCTGTGTATCTGTGAGGTTAGTAGCACTGTTCCACTATTGTTTCTGATCAGGAATCTGCGTTCCCTTTTGCTTGTGTTTTATTGATCCTGCCTAAGAACTAACTGTCAACTTTGTTAGTTCCATTTTTCTGTTGTTGTTATTTTGTCTTTCTCCATTCTTGTCTTTCATATTTCCCTCCTCCCAGCTTTGCTGTAGCAGAAGATGACCCTCCCCCCACCGCAACCAATATACTTGCTTAGTTGTCCAGGTAATAGTTCCAGGTCCAGTTCCTGTTACTTTCGTTTCTTAGAAGTTGGCTGGTCACGAGATGCATAGCTGGTCACTATGATGCATGATGTAAGAACCAGTCCCCAGTTGACAAGCCATTCTGCCTCTGTACTTTCTACTTGCTTATCTCAGATAAGCCCCAGACTACCAGAGATCGGGGCCTGATATTTTGGGGGATGATCCAGATCAGTGCCATCAATATAAATAGATATACCTCTAAATCTCGGGTGTCATTTCAGTGTTTCTGTTTGCTGTAGCATTGCTTTAGTTTATTCTTCTTTTCGAGGTCCTTTAGGTTTATTGCTGGGTTACTGAGACCCTGTTAATGTGGGTGTTTCTACATGTAAGTTTCTCTCTGAGCACTGTCACCTTCTCTTACAAGTTCTGAACTGTTTTGCTTTTGTTTTCATTCATTTTATTTTCTAACTTCCCTTGTGACTTCTTTACCCATTGGTTGTTTAAGAATGTTCTACCTAATTTCCAAAATTTGTGAATTTTCCAAATTTTCTTTCTTCTATTTTCATTCTATTGTGGTCAAATAAGGTACTTACAATGGTTTCAATCTTTTAAAAATGTATTGAGGTTTCACTGCCTATTGCGCTGTCTGTACTGATGGAGTAGTACCTCCCTCAAACCCACGTCTATCTGAATGCAGTCTTTGTAGATATGATTAAGATGCATTTTTGTTGGACCAGAATGGCCCCAGTGTGTGCCCCTGAAAGAAGAGGAGAAAACAGACAACACAGAGGTAAAGGCATGTGGTGACTGAGGCAGAGACTGTAAGTCAAGGAATACCAAGGGTCCTAGTAACCACTAGAAACCAGAAGGAGCAAGGAAGGACTCTGTGAGAGCCTCCAGTCCCACTGCCCTGTTTCCATCTTTATTTCAGAATTTTAGCCTCCGCAACTATAAGGAAATAAATGTCTGATGCTCTTTGAGCCAGGAGGTATGTGATGTTTTCTTATGGTAACTCCAGGAAACTAGCACACCCGGCTGTCACAGCTGATAAACTAGTTCGAGCTATTTTTAATTAATTGATAAACTGATTTGAATTAATAACAATTTAGCCTCAATAGTATATAAAGCTCTGCTCAAGAACTGCATTTGTCCCCCTTTATTTTGCTGTACCAGAAATCACATCTTCAAATATACATTAATTGTAAATATGAATTTATAATTATTGTTTTATGCATTTATTATCCCAATCATGTGGGGAAAATCCAAATTATAAATTAAAAAATGCAAGAGCACTAGAAATTTTATATTTGTTTACTGAGTTATCTTAAGCAGTGCTTTTTGTTTTCAGTGGCTTTAGACTACTGATTTTTGTCCTTCCATTCCAGCCTGAAGAATTTCTGTTACCATCTCCATAGTGCAAGTCTGAGAGGGATGAACTCCTGCCCTGCTTTATCTGGACATAATTATCTGGATGTGTTAATTTTTTCTTCCTTTTCAAAAGATTTAAAAATTGGAATGGACTTGGTTTACAGTCTTGTTTGTCCTTTTCATTTGAGCTCTTTAAATATTTCATCTCACTGCCTCTTGGCCACCATAGCTTTTGGTGAAAAATTAAGGCTCCCATGAACCTCGTCTCTTCCCTCTTGCTTCTCCAAAGTTGTTTTTGACAATTGGTTATAATGTGTCTCTTATCCCACCTGAAATTTGTTGAGCTTCTTGAACGTGTAGATTTATGCCCTTCACCACTTTTGGGGAGTTTTGCTTCTTTTTCTGTCTCTTCCTTTTGGGACTCCCAATATGCCTATGTTAGTATGCTTCTTGGTCTTCTGTAAGTTCCTGGGACTCTAGTGTTTTTTTTTTTTTTTTTTACTTGTCTGTCTGTCTGTTTTTTCATCCTCAGCACCCCCTAACATGCTTTTTGTTTTTTGAGAGCTCATTTGAACTTGTGACTCTCCTGCTCAGCTTCCAAGGGTGGTGATATTATAGGATTTTTTTTTTCATTCTTTATTCTTTCTGCTCCACATCCTGTGTAATTTCACTGATAATGTCTTCATACCAATGTTTTCCTCCTGTTGTTCTAATCTGATTTAGTGAAATTTTCCTTTCATTATTGTATTAGCTCCAGACTCTTTACTAGACCACTTATTAAAATTCCTGTATGCTAATTTCTTTTTCTTTTCCAGCTCATAAGAAAGAATTAGGGGAGGGGGGGTGACAACCACTGAAATTCTTCTGTCTGGGGTACTTCTTCTAAAATGCCTACATAAGGACAGTACTGCCATTACTGTGTCCTGCTCAATCAGGACTCTGGCTTTCTTGCCCTGTGTTAGTCAACTTTTTCCATGCTGAGTCACACTATCTGATACACACAATTTAAAGACAAAGACACTTAATTTGGCTTACAGTCTCAGGACTCAGCCCATGTTGGTGCTCTGGGATAGGAACATTATGGTAGAAGGGTATAGTGGGGCAAAGATGCCTAGTTCTCAGCAGAGCCCAGGAACAGTACTAGAGAGGAAGGGGTGAGGGACCAGATATAGACCCCAAGGTCACACCTTCATGACCCACTCAGACACACCCAGGAGTATGTTCCACCAATCCATCAGGTGTATTCCCAAGCCAGTCAAGTTTACACTCCACCTTAACCATCATGAGGTACCTTAACTAGAAGGGAATGGACAGGGAGGCATTGCCTACTCTTCTCATTGGCCAGAAGATCAGGTCTTGTTCTGCTCCTCCCTTGTGATATGACATGGGCAGGTCATTTTCTATATTGTGAATTCCTCCTAAATAGTGTGATAACTCATCCTTTCCTGAGACTTTCCTGGTTTTAGCATCAAAAATTTCTTGTACCTAAAACCCCCAGATGGAGGGAAACCGTGCTCATCTATGATATGGAGATAATACTACCTGTCACAGCTGTTGTGATGAACAAAGAACATCCAAGAAAACACTTGGATAGTGGTTGATTTCCATAGTAACTGAATGATTGCACATGCAAAGGATGGACAGCCTCCTTAAAGATCGGGAATGATGTGCCACCTGGCAGCTGACACTCTGACATAGATTTGCTTCTATGGGCACCAGAGAGCAGAACCCAGAGAAATTCTGTTAGCTGTACTTGACCATTTTTCCCAGCTATCCCTCTGGAAACATTGCTATATGTCAGATCCCCACGTGCTGCAAAGCGAGAGCCATCACCTTCCTGTTTAACGACACACCTAGCTACTCCTTCCTGGCCCTGTTCAATGCCGAAGGCCAGGGCTGTGTTCAGTACAACCTAAAGACACAGTAAGTAAGTCAGGATATGTTTAACCCCATCAACTCTTCCTCAGTGTAGTGAGGGCCCTGGAGTGGTGACTGAATCCCTAGCTAAAGGAGGGTCCAGAATGTACCCAGAGGTCTAGGTAAGACAGGAGCAAGACAATGCTGTGGGAACACAGGTACTTAAAGGCCTTTCCTGCAGAGTCCGTGTCACAGCAATGAGAAGGGATGCTCGCAGGTCTTCTTCATTGTGTTTCTCCAGAATGCCAGCATCTTGACTGATGGTCACATTCATGAGAGAACATTATTATTTTCACTGTGCTAAGAATTAGACCCAGGGCCTCATATGTGCTAGGCATATAGTCTACCACTAAGCCACCTCCCTAGACCACCACAGAAGGATCCATTAGGGGATAACTGTTTCTGGTACCAGCAATGGGTGGTGGAGAGGCATTCTTGCCAGCTCAGGGTTGATTTTTTTTCTTGTCAGGAGCCATTCTTGGAAAGGATGATTTATTCTCACATTATAGGTATCCTAGTTCTCATTTGGGTGCTTGAATTCTCATGTGCTCAGGCTCCTAGGTTTGGCCTGATGCTATTCTCTCTCTCAGACTGTCCCCTGAACACAGATCTCTGTAGCCTTAGCAGATACCAAGGGCCTACAGGTCACCCTAGGTGGGGGGAAGTAGAGTGTCTATAGGTCTTCACGTTCCTCCAGCCTGGAACAGATCCTCCCAGCCTGTTTGGATTCCATCAGGCCCAGCAGCAGCTCTCCCCACTATGTCTCTCAGCTCTCACCACAGCTGCCCCTACGTCTTGGTCTTGGATGAGGAAGGTGGGACCACCAATGACCACAAGGGCTATGTGGTCCACAAATGGAGCTGGACGTCCAAGACAGAGACCTTGCTCTCCCTGGAATACAAGGTAGAGTACAGCACCGCTGGGCCAGGGACTGCCCAAGACAGGGATCCTGCCCATCAGGAATCCTGAACACAATCTTGGGCCCAGTTGGTGGGCGGTGGCCAGGGTGTGTTGAAGTGCACTGTCTACCACATAAAGCAACTGGTAGCTGCTATGTCAACTTGCTATGGGAATGTCATTCCCATTTAACTTTTATTATTAATGCCACTGTATTTTTATTGCACATATATCTTTTATTTTATAAAGTAACAACTATAGCAATTGGTAGCTCTGTTTCTAAAGTTGATAAGGGTCAATAATAAGAGTCAGCAATTCTATATTGATTTCACCAGTTCTTGTTTTCATAATTTTACTGCTTATGAAATAAAAAATCTGAAAGTCAACATGACTGAGAGACCTAAAGTGTTTTCATTCCTTTGGTTTTTCAGATAGCCATTCACCAAAGATTTATTAAATAGTAATGCTGATTTTTAAATATTGTTTATTAATGGAACTGTTGAGTGTGCTTGCCACTTAGGGTAGAGCTTCCCATCATTGGCACTACTGGAATTGTGGGATGGGTGCTACTTTGTTAGACCCCCATTGTGGGATGTTTAGCAAGAGTCTGCCTTCGGCAGTGACAGCCAAACCCATCTCCAGACAATGCCAAATTTTGCCTCTAAGGTGCAGAATTTTCCCATAGGGGATAGAAAAATAAGACCTCACAAGGAACTCAGAGGTCCAGAGAAGTGACGAAGCACAGGGCAGGCAAGGACAGAAGCTGGGGAAGATAGGGGGACAGTTGTTGGGCTGGGATTCAGACAGAGAAAGACCACAGAACATGAAATCCACCCAGGTTGGCTTGAGAGGGAACCTAAAAGAGGGCACCATGGACAGAAGCATTCAGAGTGTTGGTGTTTGCCCAATTCCTCCTTTGGTGCGTCCTCTCCACTGGCCACTGGGGTCTCATTCTGATGAAGCAGTCTTGGCTGCTTGCACATCAGAATTCTTTCTAGGATTTTGAGCAAAGTATGAATCCCAGGCACAATTCCAAAGGGACCCTGACTCAGTTGGTCTGTCAAGAGTTTTAAATTGCTGCTGTTTCCTCCAACTATTTCTGATGGGGGCCAGGTTTGATGTCTTCAACATAGGGATGTACTGTATTGCCTTAGTGTCCTGTGGCTGTGTGAAATGTTTGTCTCCAAGAATATCACAGTCAGATTAAGGTGGCCACCATATGTCATGTGTGGATATGGCCCCGCAGACAGAGAACTAGGGGGAGCGTGTGCCGGCTTGAGTTCTTACGCTGATGCTACCAGGCTTCCGTGGTCTTACATCTTCTTATCTGTCCCCTTCTGCCTCACGGGAGATGAAGGGAACCTGACATCACTAGGTGAGTCAGCGAAGTGTGTAGTCATTGTTACATTTCCGGGAGCTGACGTTGTGCAGTCAGGAGGGATCCAGGAGAGAAGGTGCCCCTGAAGTTGTGACACAAGAGTGAAGGAGAAGGGTCTGTGCCTTACATGGGCACAGACAGTATCTATAGAGGGTTGGTGCTAGACAAATTGAGCCATCTTCAAGTTCACAAGAGCTTCTTGTGAAGGGAAGATGGAGTGAAGAGTGGAGGGTGCATGGTGGGGTGGAAGCACTGGGTGTCGGGATGGGGTATTTTTATGCTGTCTTTGAGCAGTTTGTTTTTACCCGGGTATTGACTGTTTCTGGTGTTTGTCCTTTCCCCTGAAAACCCACGTTCCCTTCTGGTACTGTTTCTCTCCAACCTGAAGAACTTCCCGTAGTATTTCTTGAAGTGCAGATCAACAGGCAACACCTCTATTTTCCTTATGTGAAAAATCTCTTGGTTAAAAGCTATTTTTTGATGAATATGGAATTCTAGGTTGGCTTTTTTCCTTTTATGGTTTTAAAGACATCATTCTGCTGTGGCTGTGCTTCATAGGCTACTATGAGAAGTCTGTCATTATTCAAATCACAACTCATTCTCTCTAGATTTTCTAAAAATCTCTTTTAAGATCCCCCCCCCCCCGCCCGGGTTTTCTAAGTTTGACGATGCGTCTAGGTGTGGTTTTATTCATGTTTGTTCTATTGAAGGTTTTGTGAGCATCTTGAATCAGTAAGTTTATATAAATTAATACCACCAAATTTGGGAAATCTAAATCTTCTTTTGATAAACATTGTGTTCCTCCACCTTTGTTTTTGGAGACCTCAATTATATTACATTAGACCTTTTGATATTGTTCCAAAGTTTCTTCAAGCTCTGTTTTGTAATTGCTCTTGACCTGCCTGTCTCCAACTTTATAGGTTTCCTTATGTCATCTCCATTCCTGTATTATGTAATTCTTAAGAAATTTTAAAATTTCATTTATCAGTTCTAGAATTTCCATTTAGTTATTTTTATATTTTCTGTTTCTGTTGAGAATTCATTGTTTTATAATTCCTTATAAGTATATTTTCCTTTGTCTCTTTGAATAAAGTTAAGCTAGATGCTTTAAAGTCCTTGTCTGAGTGTGGTGATACCATGATCACATCAGGCAGGGTTGATCTCTGTTGCCTTGAGAACTGGTTGCTGTTCCCTGGAAATCAATACTGAGTACCTGCTGAGTAATTTTGGGGTTGTAGGTTGACACTCTGACTATTATATTATGGAATATCTGAATTCTGACATACTTCTCTGAAAGTATTCTTGTTGTTGTTTTAACATGCAAAGAACTTAGTTAGACTTGACCACATACCATTTTATTGGCAGTGGTAGCAGCTCAGTTGGATTCTTTATTATCGACTCTGCTCATGTGTGGTCCAGGAAATCAGCCAGAGACGTGGGTTGCTCACACACTCTGAGGGCTCTCCTGACTGTCCCTCTAGGATTCTCTGCATGTGCTCCCATGACAATGTCTACTTCTGGCTGTGCCTGTGTGCTCTCCAGCCAAACTGGAGGTGGGCAGTGGATTTGAGCTGTGACTGTGGCCTATCTTCAAGCCAGAGCTGAAAATCTGAAACTCATCTCATGCTGCTTCTTTAAGTTTGGACTTGTCTGGGTTGAGAAGGCTGAAGGAGTAAATTCATGTGTGAGGTCCCCAAAGAAAGCACACAGAGGCAGATACCAGCAACACAGCAGTAACAGGCAGCCGAGTAGAGCAAGAAATCAAGAGCAGCCTGCATCTTTATTATTTAACTCTTATCTGGCTGTTTCAGTGTTTACAGCCTGGTATAGTGCCACAACCTGCACATGCATGTTTACCTGGGCAAAGTCATGTTTATATATCTATATCTCACTATGTGCCTGTACTAGCGAGTGGAATCACATCTTCAGCTGTCCTTACATACCCTTGAGCTTTAAAGCAGCCTGAGTGGTTCCCTGCAGGCGTCCTGCTTTTGTCCACTCCTCAGAGCCTTTGGGTACTTGTATTTTTTGTCAAGTTTATAGTCCTCGTGGGAGGGTCAGCCTGTTAGGTGTTGGCTCAGCTATACTGAAAGTGAAACCAGCCATAGTTTTTTACTCTGCAGGTTGGAATGCTCAGCCCAACCTCTGTGGAAACCTGGCAGGACAGGGGAGACCAGTGGTTGGTTATGGGCCAGACTTGACCTAATAAAAGTATTGGCTACATTTTTAAAGGGCCATTTCAATAAAAGAACACCACAACATTCCTGTGCAGGATACAGGCATAGATGAGAGTGATGAGAATTACAGATGACTCCATGATGGAGCAAAAACTTTTCCAGAAGGCCAACAACTGGTCTGGTTTCACACATGCCAATCTGGCTGTTACTGTGACATGGATCTTGACTTGGGCAAGAGGTGAGGGGTGACGGTAGGATGTCACAGGCTTGCTAATGACCCTGAAGGAGATAAGCTCTGCCTGGGTTTGTAGAGCAACCACATTTGGGGTACTGAAGGGACAAGGAGAAAGCACACGGGTAGCAGGGATGATAAATAACAGCAGCACCGTGCTGGCCCCAAGCATTTTTACCCTGTAAAATGTGTTCAGTGTCCTCAAGGAAGGGATCTGTTCCAGCCCTCACCAGAGAAGCTGACAGCTCTGATGCCCCACTGGGTAGTGGCAATGGCAGCACTCAAACGTTACCCTGCTGTGCAGCCCGAGCTCTTGGCCACAGCTCCAGCCTGCACCTCTTAGCAGAACAGGAGAGGGAAACGCTTCCTGGGAATAAGACTGAGCAGCAAGATGAAAGATGCTACAGCTCCACTCATCACTGTTCCATGTCTTTGGAGTGGAGAGGGCACAAACGCCCAGATTGCAGAATAGGAGAAAGATGCAGACAGCAGCTGGCGAGTGGAAAGAGTTCAGTGGGGCGTGGGGCAGAGAATCTGGGAGCTCAGCAGAGCATGGCTACATGCTTGGGTGTTACAGGGGGACAAGAATGCTGTGCAAACAAATGCTGCCCGGTGGCCCGCATGCCCTGATGGCACCCACTCACTCAGGGCAGGGCCTTCACAGCTCTGGTCACCTCCAATGTCTCTGCTGCATCCAAACATCATAGCCTCCAGCGATTACATGGGGGAAGGAGTTGAGGTTCAGATAAGCTACAGGGCTTAACAAGAGGCAGCACAGAGTGGTAGAGGCCACGGAGTCCACAGGAGGCCACCTGCCTTCTCTGGGCTCCAGCTGAGGTAGAAGCCCATCCTCTTGGAGGGGGTGGGGAATGCAGCTTCTTGTCCCCCTTCCTGCTTGTCTCTGGCTGTGCTGCAGGACAAGAGCTGGTGACAGTTTGCTGCCTTTAGGAGAAGGGACTACTGAGCTTGTGGGCATCAGCCCTTTCTGGTTCCCTTTGGCACGTGTCCTCTACCCTCGGGAGGTGGCTTCCTGCCACTCCTTGCCTGCCCTTCCTGCCTGCAATGGGACAGGACTCACAATGTCGCCTCATGTGGGAACAGAGGCTTAGCTTCCATCACACTGCCTGACCGTGTGTCTCTCACTGACAGCTCCAGGCCGGGATGGGAAGGAAGGAGGACTGGTCCCTTCCTCAGGTCACAGACGGGATTTCTCTGCCATCAGAGGAATGGAAAGAGCTAATCCCAGCCCCAGACTGAGAGTGGTCTTGGTTTTGGGCTCTCAGCGGCTTAAGAGGGTTGGGTGGGACCCCAAGGCAGGGTCCCTGAACATGATTTCTCCACCTGCAGGTGAATGAGCAGCTGAAGCTGAAGGTTCTGGGGCAGGACTCCATCGTGGTCACCTTCACATCCCTGAATGAGACAGTGATGATTACTGTGTCAGCCAGAAACTGTCCCCACGGGATGGCACAGGAAAAGCGGGTATGGCACAGTGGCCAGTGACAGGTGCTCATCATTCTCATCCCAGGTCTTGCCACCTCTGCAGCCTCACGCAGGCCCTGTGTCCCTCATTGTGTCATTTGCTGCCTGGCCTTAGTTCTGCCTCCCTGTCCTCTGGGCTTCTGCTGTAGGAGGTGACAGAACTCCTCGTGGGCTGCCTCTGAGCATGAAGAGAGAGCAAGTCAGCATCTGGACTGAGAAGCCTGACCAACACAGCTTTGGGATGGCCCACGAGGCCCTTGAGGGTCCCCCAGACTCCTACCCTCGGTGCTTCTCTGGGTTTGTCTATTCTCAGAGCTGCTCTCTGTTGGGGACAAGATGACCAGAGTTCCAATTCTAGATTCTCCAGCATGGTGTCAGCATCCGCCTCCCTCACACAAGATCTTGGGCTCCATCTTGAGGCCCACATCCTGGAGAAGAAGGAGGTGAAGAAGGGGAACTGAAATGTTCTCATGGCAAGATGACTTTAAACCATCCTTGGGCAGTTGGGGGCCAGACCCACCACAGGCAGCACCCAGGCCAGGATGAGGGAACACACTGTGGGGAGCCTCAGGTGCACAGGGGTGTGGCAGGAAGCTACCAGGGCGCTCCTCTGCCCTCTTGTGTCCCGGTTGGGGTCCCTCCACCCCCGCCTGCTCAGCCCTTGGCTACAACATTCTCCATCTGCTTCTTTGTACGACTCAGTCTTCTCACTAAGTTGGGGGCTTCCTGGGCTTCAGATGACACATATCATCCCCCAGCTCCAGGAGGGGACCCTTCAGATGATACATATCATCCCCCGGGACTAGTTCTGGGACCTCCTTCTCATGCACATAGAAAATGATGCCAGGCTGGCTTTTAGTCTGTGGCCTCTTCTGTACTCTTTAAATCATCTCGAGGTGACTTATAAACATCGGTGCATTCGAAATGCCATGTAAATCACTCAAGATGAAGGCAAAAATAACACATCTGTATGGGTTCAGTCCAGCTGTGATTCTGCCTACATAAGTTTGATTCACAGTGGCTTGGATCTGAGGGTGTGGCCCCGCAGTACAGAGGCCATCAGTGCTTTCCAGTGCTCCTGGATGGAGATTAGGAATTCAATTCTTCCCTCCACTGCATCTCCATAGATCCTACAGCAGCTGGTGTCAAGTCACCATCATGGAAGAGAAGGTGAAGAGGACATAGTCCCTGTGCCTCAAGGGCCAGAAAAAAATGCCTCCAAGGGTACTTTGTGGGATGGCCCAGGGCTGGTCCCACGTACACAGTGTGCAGAGGAATTGTAAATATACCCTTTCCCTCCCCGAAATGTCCAAACCTGGATTGCAAGTTGTAAGAGCTGAGCAGGAGGGTCCAGCTTAGGGGCATCTACCCTAGCACACCCTACTCTCTGAGAACCTCAGGTTTGGAGGAACTTTGGCCATGACTGCACAGGGATGCAGGAACACAGGAAAGGTACACATTAGGACATCAAAATGGACACAGGAAGAAATGATGTGCACTCTGGGAGGAGAGCCTCACGCCTGCTTTCTAAGATGCTTTCTCCAGCACGCTTTACCTATATTTATTCATTCATGGATCCAGGGCAACCACCAGAGAGTTAGAAATGAAGCTGTGCTCTCCAAGCTCCAATGGATGCCTCAGTAAGGAAAGGGTAAATTTGCTACAGCACAATCCAGTTTGATCGTTGAGGTGTGTCCTCCCAAAGCCTCATGCAGACGTAGAAGGCAGGCTTCTTTGGAGATAGTTGAATCTAGAGATTGTGACTGAATCATAGTGCATGCTGGGATTAAGGATACAGGGATTAGGGTGGGTGATTGCTGGATCACTCCATTGATTGGATTGGCCCTGCCTTAATCCCAGCAATCTGGGTAAGATGAAGTGGACAGAAAGAAATTTGGTTCTGTCTTTTGTTCTTGCTTGTTGCTTTTGCTGTCTTCCACCACCATGAACTGTCGCCCCTCTGCCATGTTCCTCCCTGCTTTGGAGCCAGCCTGTTATGGACTGAAACCTCTACAAACCATCACCTAAATAAATCCTTCCTTCATTAACTTTGGGTATCAGGTACCCAAAACTTCTCAGCAATGAGAGAAAAGTAACTAAGACAGAGGGGAACTTGAGAACTGCAAGTATGAGAAGAGAAAGCATTCAGGAAGAGGACTCTCAAGACACTAGGACACACGATGCTCAGAGTTCGACTCATACCGCTTCCACAAAGGGAAACAAAACCACAGGCTGGAACTGAGCTTAGTGCTGGGTGCGCATGAAGCCTTGTGTTCCATCCTCAGCATCAGGAAGAGAGAGAGACAGAGACAGAGACAGAGTCAAGTGGCTGCATTCATCCTCTTCACTGGCACATCTTCTCACTCTAGAAGTCACTGTCAGGGACACGCTGTATGAAGTCACAGTTCCGCACTGCATGAAAACCATTAGATGGTGGAAAGGAAGCTTGCATTTCTTTTTTCAAGGCAGTTGACATCAGAAAACCCCATCCTCATTAAATTGCTGTCATGTTCTGCTCTCTAGAAATCTCTATTTGGGGGCTCTGAAGAGTGGGATGCAGCTAAGGACCAGGATGCAAGCCTTGGAGACACCTGAGCCATGGAGAGAAGTCACTCCAGTCCCTGCCACCCCTTCCTGCCCAAGGGAAGACCCTTGACTCTCCAGCCTGTGTGCCTGTTCAACCAGCTAGAACTCAAGTGCCAAGCTGTGCTGTCACCTACAGGGCTTCTGAGTTTTGGAAACTGACAGGTCCAGACCCAGCCAGAGACAGACTCTGTGAAGATACAGCCTCTCAAAGGCTCACGGACCAGAGGATACAGAATGTCCTTCTCATGACCTATTTTCATTTCATGCTGAAATGACCATATTTTTATATCCTGTGCTAAATAAACATGGGATTAAAAATCCACCATTCCAAAATGTTTCTCAGGTAGCTGCTAAATGTTTACAAGCAGTTCACATTAGATTTCTATGCTATTGTGCTGGCATCCAGAATGGATGTCCACCAAGGGACATTAACAAAGGCCTGAGGGCAGGAGGAGGCTGAGATGTTGTTAAAATGACACAGTAACTCAGAGAACATAACCACCTTGGGATGTTTAACGCAGGGATAGCAGACTCGTGTGTTAACACAGTCTTGGTAAATAGCACCACATTAAGGAAAGGTGGGGGAGGGGGAGTAACAACCTCTGGGTGAGACACAGGGCGTGTGCTGTCACACAGACTTCCACCTAGATGATCAGGACAAATGACTCCATGCCACAGCATCTTGTGGCTGCCCAAGTATTTATACAAGAAGCCCCAAGCCTCCGATGATCAGCTGATCTTACATCTTAGGACCCTCAGAGTTGTCATGAACACTTTCCGCCCCAGGAAGGGGGACCTAGCCAGTTTCCTCATCTCTTTAGGCATGTAGAAGGGCTCACCCCACTTTAACACACCCCAGTTCTGGTGCTTTTATCACCTTTCAAGACTGCCCTGTGCATGCTGGTTTGGGGTTTGTTCTATAAAATCCCAGGACACCTGTGTCAGCTAGGGTGGTGAGTTCACCTCCTCCTGCAGAGTCCCCATCATAGGAAGCCTATTAAATGGTTTCCCCAGCATCATCTTCCTGGAAAAGCCACCCATCATAGCGACAGGCAGAGCAGCGGCCCTGCTTTTACAGCCCGGGGCCTGGCTCCATCCTGAGGTCGTCCATCACAGCAGTGCCTCAATTTAAATGCTTTATTAGCCCAGAGCCACTCAAATCCTTGTCAGAAGCAGACTGGGCATAAATTACAAGTAAATAAAGTTAGCCAGGAGCAGAGACTGGAGCCAGCTATCAAAGGCAACAGGCTTTCCTGTTAGCTAAGAGTCCTTCACAGAGCCTCTGCAGGGGAGGGAGGACACACAGCTGATGCTGTCATCCCCAGAAAATCTGTTCTGTCTGTACTCATCCAGCCTCGCCACCAAGGCCCAAACCCACCCGTCCTCTGTGTCATGTGGGAGCTGCCAAAAGCACCAACCCTTCCCTCGAGAAGGTTCAGGATCCATCAGCGGGAGGATGGGTCCTAGGTGATCTCCAGCACCCTTGTGAGGGATGCTGGCAGTGTGCACTCCCAGAGCCCTTGTCCACCCAGGGTTTCAGGACTGGAACATCATTATTTTACTCTTTGGTTTATGAGTCATTCTTGTTATGTAGCCCAGTCTGGCCTTGAACTCAAAGTGATCTTCCTGCCTCATTTTCTCAAGTGCTGAGATTACAGGTGTGCACCTCCACACCCAGCTGGGCCCGCATTTCTTGAGCACTTTCTGCATGAACTCAGAGGCCGTGCAGGACTCAGCCTCCTCTGGGAGCCTGCAGTCCAGCGGGGAGACAATTCTATGATCCATGTTTATGTGGAGGGCATGCAGAGAGGTGGGGTACAGCGCATGCTGCTGCAGCCAGAGTGCATCTTGCCTGGCAGGCAGCAGCCCCTCACTGTCCACTTTGCCCCCAGATGAGCCGCAGAATTAGCACTGATGAGAAGATATCCAAGATGAGCCGTGCACTGGCCGAGATCAAGAAGCGATTCCAGAAGACAGTGACTCAGTTTATGAACTCCGTGCTGCTGGCAGCAGGTAAGACTCAGAGTCTAGAGACTTAGTGATGGCCTCAGTGTCCCAGCTCTTCCCACCCACCTGTGTCTGGGCCCCCAGTGGGGGATAGAGCAGAGGTCCCCAACATGGATGTGGTCTCAGGCCCACCTTGCAGGGACTGAGGGGTGAACCCGGCCAACTTCTGTTTCCCAGCTCTCTCCTGTCTGTCTCCATGAGGCTGCCTTTCTGTATACCCTACTCACACCTGTGTCACCTCTCAATGTCATCTCTCATGAGCTCCTACATCCATATATAGCCCTGTTCCTCCCTCTGTGTGAGAAGAGGCTCATGGAAGGCAGGGTCCCGTCACTAGGCTGTCCTTGTCCTTCAGAGCACCTGCAGGCCTGGCAGGGCAGCCTCGGGACTTTTACACATTGGTTGAGGCTCTGAGTCCTCCTCACAGCTGATGGGCTAGTAAGAACGGCATCCCTGTGCTGCCCTCAATGGCCTCTTTGGGGAGCTTGTCCTTGTCGCTGTCTCCACCCCTGGGAGCTTCCCTGGACTTCCCTAGCAGAAGGGGCCACACCTCCTCTGGCCACAGCTCCCTCCATTGCTCTGGTTACAAACCTCGATACTCAGCACTGGGTGTATTTCCTTCCTGCTGGAGCTGGGCTGGCTCTGTCTTCCTAGTGCCTCGCTCAATAGAAAAATGAGGGCCACAGCCTCAAGAACTGTTTGGTCTGGGAGGGAACTGGGGCAAGACAGAAATCAACACAGCACAGTGCAACAGAGAAAGAGGTTGACGTTGTGTCCTCGAGACTGGAACTAATGTTCTCTGGCCAAGCTAGGACTTCTGGTGCAGCTGGCTCCTTCCAGCTCCAGGGCAGACAGCAAGTAGAGGGGACACGGGTGCCCACAGAGAGGGAGCTGAGGCTGGGTCTGGGAGAGCATCTGCCTTGAACAGTGTCCCACGTTAGCCAGCAGGCACGTTAGCCACTTGGCTATCCTGGTTAGGACCGTGCTCTGTAAGGCGATAAGGACACGAGGACCCTGCAGGGACAAAAGAAACAATAGAGTTTTCTGTTCCAGGCCTCTTCACCATAAAGTATCCCACTATGCGGGAGGAGGCTGAATTTGTCCAAGCCAGGCTGAAATCCAGCACCCTAACCGAGTGCGCCCCGAAGCTGAGCTTGCGCTTAGGGGAACCCATTCCCCGGTTCCAGTCAAGTCGGCCAGACTCCATGATGGAGGATTCTGTGCCCGAGCAAACTGTGCCTGCGCCCGCCAGTCCCAGGCGGAAGAAGATGCCCAGAGTCCAGGCCAAGGCCACAGCTGTCTACAGGTTGGCCTGATCCTTCACTCTCTCCACAGGGCAGGGGCTGTGATAGGTGGCCATGTGGACAGGACAGGGACTAGACAGCTTGAGCCCGGGGGTGGGAAAACAGGCGACAAATCCATGAACAAATGAAATGATTTTAAACCATGATCAAAGCAAGGAAGAAAACACATCAGAGTAGTGTGTCAGCACAGGAGCTGGCATGGACAAGGTCAGAACCTCACTGCTTCTCCTTTTATGGACAAGCTAAGAATAGTTTTTACCTTTGTAAGCACTTGGGGGGCGGGAGTCAGAAGAATATTTTATAACATATTAAATGATAGGGAATTTACACTAGACATGTTGCTGCATGCATGTAATTCCAGCACTTGGGAGGCTGAGGCAGGATTGCCACAAGCTTGAGGTGGGCTACATAGTGAGACTCCGTCTTGAGAAAACAACAGAAAAGATAAACAATTCAGCTGTCAGTATCTCTTAGTAAGCTTTATTGGACCACAGCCACACATATCATTTGTACTCCATATCTGTTTCCCAGGAAAATGGCAATGACCACTGTCCAGCAGTGGTGACAAAGACCACACGGTCTCCAGGGCCTGCACGAGTCACTATCATTGCTTCCTATCTGAGAAATACTGACTGGATAGAGTGATGGGCAGGAGGTGGTGTAGGCCACAGTCAGCAGAGGGGTCAGGGAAGCTGCTTTTGCAGTGACTTTATGTGCCAGAGAGGATGGGGCAGAGTAGGTGGGCACAGACAGGGGCAAGAGAGCACAGGAGTCTGAAGGTAGTTACCAGGCATGGGTGTTGAGACCCGTGATGTGGACACAGCCTAAAGATGGGCTGGGGGTGGTGAACAGCCATGCAGTACCACAGGAAGTCATTCTATAACTTATTTGGTTTCAGTTTTTTAAAACCTGGTCTCGCTGTGTAGTTCAGGCTGGCTTTGCGCTCATTATGTAGCCCAGGCTGACCTGGAACTCAAGGTGACCCTCCTGCCTCAGCCTCTCAAGTGCTGGGATTACAGGCGTGTGCCATTGTGTTCAACTGTTCTATAACTTAATGAACATTACCTCAATTTATTTATCTTTTTAAAATTTAAAAGACCTAAAAAATATTTTTTATACTTTAACTTTTCAAAAACATAAAATACACACAGAAAAATGATCAAGTCCTAGGTTATAGCTCTTTGAACATCACAAAGTACACAGAACCACCGAATCTAGAATCGGGGGTCACCAGTCCCTTGGGAGTCCCCTCTCCCGCTCCACACGCTCTGCGCCCCTCTCTCCCCAGACAGACATTTCTAACCCACAGTGCTCCCGGTTTTCAGTAGATTTGTTGGCTGTGTCCTCTTGGTGTGCAGCCGTGCCACTCAGCATGGTGACTGTGGTGTTCGTCTATGTGGTCCCTGCCACAGGGCACGTACCTTCAGTAGATATGGTGTACTAGGAGTTAAGTTGCGTTCTGAGTTGGTGGAGTTGGACTGTTTCTGTGTGGGCGCTGAGAGCCCAAGCTGCTATTGGTGCATGCCCCTCTCCTGCCAGTGTGTGCAGGGTGTCACATGACGATCACAGATTGTGTCCATCTCTGGTACAGACACCATGGGGTGTCAGGCTCGGCCCCTTCAGCGACATGCCACATGCTCACCTGGGTCTGATATCATCGACTGTCCAGTGCACACCATTAGGCAGGGTGAGCTCTTTTTCATCATCAAATGTGGTTTCATTTGCATTTTCCTGATGATTCCAGGGGCTGAATGCTTCCTGACTTTCGCATTGACCATTTGGGACATTCTCCTTTGTAAAGTGCCTGCTCAGTTCATTTTTTCCTATTGGATTCCTTATCTTTTTTTTTTTTTTTTATCAGTACCAGGGATCGAACTCACGACCTTGCGCTTGTAAGGCAGGCGCTTATGCCACTGAGCTAAATCCCCAGCCCTGGGTTCCTTATCTTTCTTCATTTATTTGCAGGAGTTCTTTATATATTGTGGATGTGTTTGTCAGTTTTATTGCTATTATAAATTGTGTTTTATTTAACTTTTAATTTTGTGGTTGACTAGAGAAAACTAATAGGTTTTACCTCAATTTAAATTAATTTTTAATTTGCTTATGGTATAGTTTACTCTTTTGATCTAAAATTCTGAGTTTAGATGAGTGAATAGAGAGGTATCACCAACATGCCCAAGAAAGCAGTTCTCTTCCATAGCCCTTCCCTAGCCCTCACTTCCATCCCTGAGGGGCTGCTCTGTTTTCTGTAGCTGTCATTTTGCACTTTCCATGATGTCCCATCAGTGGAATTATATGAGAACCTTGACTTTGCTTCTTCATTTAGTACAATGTGTGCAGACCAGGCCTATGTGTGCACACCCCAACCTTCCCCTTCTATCCACTGCTGAGTAGAATTCCTTTGGGGGACCCCAGTAGCACCCCCCATCCAGAGGTTCACTAGGACCCATGAGACTCAGAATGCTGTCCTCATGGATAAGGTTTATGACAGTCAAGGACACACGATAGGATCAGTAAGATGAAAACACAGCTCCAGTCTGGAGAAAACTAGAGGGGAAGCTTTCTCCAGTGTAGCCACTGTCTGCCCAAGAGCATCCTAAACACTCACCCCAGAGTGGTCAGCAGAGGCCAGTCACCTATGTACCCTCTGACTAGTATTCATCGAGATTTCAGGTGACTGAAAGGGGGGCAGGGTGTGGCATACAGCACACTGCAGGCACACTCTAGGCAAGAGCAGGTTCTGGCTCAAGCGCCCAGTCCCCAGGCACCAGCCATGGGCTGGCCTGGTCAGCAAGTCCCTCTAGAGACACAGCCTCAGCTTTTGAATGTTGACTCTTCTGTGTGGTCGACACATGAAGGGGCAGGACTTTATCTGTTCAACTACTATCCAGTATTTGAATTCTTTTCATTTTTTTGGTGCTTATAAAGAAAGCTGCTATAAATATTCTCCAGCAGGTTTTCATCTGAACATAAATTGTCCTTTCACCTGGGCAAGTGCTTAGAGGCCACACTGCTGGGTCACAGGGTAAAGGCCTGTGTCACAGCTCCTCAAGCAGCTATGTCATCACGTGTTCCTGCTGAACATGTCTGAACGCTCCAGTTGCTGTAGCTCTTGGTTCGCACCTGGTACTGTCAGGTTGCTGTTTAAGGCTGGTGCCAGATGAACAATGACGTCTTATTTTCATGTAAATTTGCATTTCACTAATAGCTAGTGATTTGGGGTCTTTCCTTTTAAATTTGTTAATGTTTCTTTTATGATCTTAGAACATGTCCTAATTTGGTCAATCTTCATGTTTTGGTTTTAAGCAGGGTGCAACCCACACCAGTAATCCTGGCTCTGGAGGTTGACGCAGAAAGACTGCAAATTTGGGCCCAGCCTGGGCAACTTAGTGATTGAGACTCCCTAGCTCAGTGCTGACAAAGGTTTTAAGAAGGATGTTAAAGGCTTTAATAATTACTGCAGACTTTCCTGCTTTTCCCTCACTTCACACATTTAGGGAGCTCTGGTATTGCACGCATATATTTCTGTAACTGTTTTGTTTTGAAATGGAGCAACTTCCCTCAATATACCATGTCTTTGTTTATCTCCAATATAACTTTCCACTAGGAACTGTCACCCTCTGATACTGGCTGCCATTTCTGCTTTCTACTGCCCATCACTTGCTTGAAACATTTGTTCCTTTCAAGTTCACCATGTGCTAAAATCTAAAATGCTCCTCTTACGGAAAGCATGCTGAAGCACCATGGTGCCCACACATGTGACAATCCAGTTTGTGTTACTTCTTCTTTTCTTTTTCTCCCCGTGCTAGAATTCAAACCCAGGGCCTTGCACATTCAGAACAAGTGCTCCCTCACTGAGCTGCACCCTTAGCCCTGCTTTTAATAAATACCAGCCTAGCTCGATAATATACAGGAATTATCCCAGCCTAGCTACATACTGAGACCCTGTCTCAAAACACCAAAACAGACAAAGTATTCTGTACAAAGCTCTGTGCTTATACACTTCTAATTTTATATTGTTATTGTCACAAATAAAATCCTTATTTGCTAAATACCAGTTAACATATACAGTGGTGCCTTGGTTCATAGATTTGACTTGTTCAACAATTTTGAAAAAGATGGCCACATTCATGCTTGGGCTGGAAAAATGGTCATTGCAGTTTGTTACCTGAGGCAGAGTCCGCAAACAAAAAAACTTGCCAGATGCTTCTGTGAACCAAATTGTTCACAAACAAAAATGTTCGTGAATCACGGTACCACTATATTTGCAACTATTTTCTCATGTATTTTGTTTATCCATTTGTGATTTATTATGGTGCCAGGGAGGTGAGTACCCACTCCCATGGCTGGTGCTCAGTCAACTGCACTCCCTCTGCAGGAGGAAGAAGATTCCTGAGGCACATAGCCCCTCGGCACACAGCCCCTCACAGCAGCAGGTGGCCTTATGCTCTGACTGTCCACTGGTGCTGCGCAAGCTGGTGTGCAAACAGGACCCACGCCCGGGCTGCAAGTGCATGTTGAAGGTGCCCCTGGTGTCTGACCTGGAGCTGGAGCTCTTCCTATCGGCACCCCGTGACCCTGAACAGGTGTTGGTGTTTGGCATCCTTGCAAGCCGGACCCCGATAGACACTGCACAGCTGCAGTGGCTGCTGGACACGCTATATAGCCATGAGCAGCAGGGCCGTGGTTCTCCCTGTGTCCAGGTGAGTGTGGACCAGATCAGGTGAGGCCCAGGGTACTGCTTAGACAAGGGGATCCCATTCTCAGGTGCTTGAGTCCCCAGGGCCTTTGCTCCCCCTCTTCTGCTGTCCATGACACTGCCCCATCTTCTCCGGACTCCTTCTCCTGCTCCTGAGTAAGTGTCACTACTTCTGACCCTCAGGACAAATCTGGGTGCCTCTCTGCTCATCCAGAGTGATACAAAATTTGAGCTTTCTGTATGCATAGCTGTCAAGAGCAGAGACCATGTTCAGGGCTCAGAAAACATGTGACCATTGCTAGCAGGATGTGCAGTATGCTGTAGCCCCACATGTGCTGCCTTGTGCCCAGGGGAGGGGAAGGGGAAGGTATATCCAGGCAGGCGGCCAGGGAGCAGGGTGACTTGAGGTTCCAGTCACTGCAGGTGAAGTGGAGCCCTCAGGCTGCACCCCTGGGACACATGGATTCCCTCCTCTTCCACCTCCTTTCCTCTGTAGGGCCATTCCTGACTCAGCCTTATCACCCTCAGCCTCAGCACCCTTAGACTCACCCTCACTGGGGCCAAGGCTCCACCTGGGCCTGTAAGCAGGTGTCCATGGTGACTTCCTTCACACAGTGTCTCCCCTCATGCTTCCTGGGACCTAGCACTTTTGCCTTGCTGCAGGATTCTGAGTGTGAGCCCTTGGATGGGGTCTTCATATCCACCCTCAGGGTGGTGCTCAGCCAGGGATTCAGTTTAGTTCAGTGAGTGTTTCTCAGGAACCTGAGCTGTGGCCATCCCTGTAGACTGTAGTAACCAGCTGCAGCTCTAGATGTTCCCAAGCAGAGGGGGGCAGTGTGGGGCTGGGGGGACAGTGAGAGGATGGGAAAATAAAGAAGAGACAAAGCTGGTGCTGGCCTCAGGTGGTGCCCTTATTCTCCTGATGGAAGAAAAAGAAACTGCTCAACCACTATAGCACCTTTATTTATAGGCTCCGAACACTCCAAGGAAGAATGTCAGTTTCAACCCCACTGCCTAGCAACTTGTTTACCTGGCTGGCCTGGGCCCTTTGCCTTCTTGGAGCTGGAACAACTTGTTTACTTGGCTTGTTTTGGGCTTTCTGTGTTTTCCTGGCTGGTTTTGCTCTAGCCCTACACTTGTGATCAATCTCCAGCTTTAGCAGACCTACACGATTCCAGCCTCGAGGGAATTGCATCAGTCCTCAGTTCATTTGATGATGGTCCCTAGAGATCAGGGTAGGGCAGCTAGGGCAGGGATGGGTAATTAAGACAGGGCATTCAGGGAAGGGCCTGGAGGCTTTAGGGCAAGGATAGACCTAGGGACACACACACAGGATGGACTAACTTCGCGTCGTGAGGCTGGAGAATCATATGCCACAGCCCCGGGTCTGGCTCGTGTTGACCCTGTAGCAGCCATCTCTTGATGGCCTCTTTCTAATGAGGGCTCTGAAGTTGAGACCAGGGTGCACTTGGTGGTGTGGTGTCACTGACCAGCCTCTCTTGTCAGTGCCGGCACGACCCATATCGCCTGCTGCAGTATGACCTGGACAGCCCCCTACAGTGCCACCCACCCCTGCTGGTGACCAAGTTTGCTGTGGTGCCGGGGATGGTCTTGGTGAGCCCGGGGCAGGGACTGTGGGTGGGAAGGGCAGAGACCAGCTGGACTGAGGCCCCCTGGCTTCCTAAGTGGCCCTTCCCTGCACTCTGAAGGACGTCAAAGCCTCTGCATCTGTTTCTAAATCACTTCATGCTGAACTTGGAAAGTCACGACACCCACAGTCACCCAGTGTTACGCACACGTCCAGCAGTGATATTCCAAGCCCTGCCAGGTCAACGCCATGCTGGCATTGTGCTTCCAATCTTGCAGTCTTTCTATGACTCACTGCAGATCCTACCTTTTACTAAAGCAACATGAGCTTTCCCGATGTCCTAAGGTGTGTGATACCTGATTTTAAACCCAGAAATGAGTCTTTTGTTTTATCTCTATCTATGCTGCTTTAGCCTAGCATTTAATATTTTCTTCTCCTCTTCTTTCCTTTCCTGTTCTACTTTTCTTTCTTTTTTCTTCTTTTCCTCTCTTCTCTTTCCTTTTTCCTTCCTCCATGACACACAGTGCTGCTGTGAACACCCCTGCCCAGAAATCTTTGCCCAGAGTCTCTATGGTAGGGAACAGCATGCAGAAGGAGAGATACTTTCCCATGAAACCTGTATAAGGGCCTGTCCTTGAGGTGGGCTGAATCTTGCCTGGTGGGTTGGAAGTAGAAGCCCAGAAAGTGTCTCAGGTAAATGAGCTCTCTGAGCAGGCACTGCTTAGGTGGGTCATGTGGCATAGCATTGGTGCAGCTTGGCCCAGTGGAGGACACACTGTGCAGCCACACTGCCTTCTGCCCAAGGGGCCTAGGCCAGGTTCAGTCATGCTTCTGGGCAGTGAGGATGGCAGCCTCTTGCACCTCCCAGGCCCAAGAAGCCAGAAATCCCATCCTCTGGCAAGGCTCAGTGCTCTTGTCCAGTCCCCAAGCTGCAGTGGCCCTCATTGCACTGTCCATCCATCTGCCAGCAGATGTTTGCAGGGGGGAAGCTGCTTTTCGGAGGCTGTGTTCTGAATGGGTATGGCTTCAGCAAGCAGAATCTGCTGAAACAGATCTTCCAGACACGGCAAGATTGCAAGAAGGGCTACTTCCTGCCAGACAACTACAAATTCAGGTAAGGGTGGATTCGAGGAGCCCATGGGGCCCAGAAGAGGAATGGGAGAGACTAGAGAGTAACAGCAGTCTCCTTCAAGAGGGCTTTGTTTCTTTGGGACACGTTTGCAGCAGGGGCTGCCTTGGGGACAGAGGGCCCCGGATGGTGTGCACAGGGTTATTTTCTGCTGGGAACATGGACAGAAGAGCCCAGCTGCACATCCTTCTGCCCACTGCTTCGTGTCCTGAGCTCCCAGTCCCTGAAGATGCTACAGTTTTCAGTTCTTGGAGCAGTTAGGTGCCTACAGAAGAAGCAAGACAAGATCCTCTGAGCATCTGCGGCTGGCTATAAACGGCTGCAGTAACCTCAGCTCTAGAACAGCAGCATCTAGGGTGAACTGGGAGCCGCCTTAAAGAAGACCACAGGTTTTAGGTGCCCTGGGCAGTACCCTGGGGGGGTTGAAATAAGGGCCTGCCCCCTACATTGTCTGGGTTGCCCTGCACTGGCCTCAAATTGTATCTGCTTGGCGTCAGTATGTGCCTCCCCTGACCCACAATGTATACCAATCGCACTGTGTAGACAACACAGCAAGCTGCCATGCATGTGGAAGCCATGTTCGCACAGGCCTGGGTCCCTGTGAGTCACCCATGGCACTGTGTCCTACATGCCATTCCCACACAGCCCTGGAATTTTCTGTCCCAGCCACTTTTGCCCCCAGGGAGCTGAGTGGGATCTGTCAGGCTTCAGGACCCCCCAGGAGGGCATGAGGTTCACACAGTGATCCCCTCATGCTGAAGCGCTGGCTGAATTGGACACAGCATCATGAGACTTGGCCCAGTTGGAACTTGGGCAATACCAGTCCTTGAACAGCATCCTGAGATGTAGCTGGCTGTGTGTTCACAATCAGGTCATTACTAAATGAGGTCCCCCCCACCCCACCATTTGAAAGGACTTGATGTTAGCTTATGGTAGTTCTTGGGTAACTTCAGAGAAAAGTAGATCACGCACCAGAGAGATGTACACTCTTGAGAGGGAAAGGATAGGTCCCAAAACTGCAACCAACCCAGATTCTGGAGTAGCCTCTGCACAATGGCCTGTGGGCCATAGGGCAGAGAGGAGTCTGTCTCAGGAAACGATGCTCTAAGGGCTCCGGTATTGATCAGGAAACAACACAGTCACGGGGTAGGTGGGGCTTTATCCCCTAAGCCTGCTTGTTCCCTTGCTGGTGGCCTCTCCAAAGACCTGGGCTTCCTCCAGACCCAGTGGCCAGATCCCAAGCACAAGGGTCTTTCCTCCTGGGATGTAGCCACTGAATGACAAGCTGCCAGCCTCTCAGGTCCATGAGATCTGCCTCCCATGGCCAGTGAGCCCCGAAGCTTCAGACAGCTGGCATGGCATCCCAGTGGTGTGGCTTGAACAGCAGCTGCTCTGTCCCAGGTGCTTGCAGTTGGAGGCAAGGACAAGGTGTGGGCAGCTCCTGTCATTCATTTCCCACTTCCCTGGTCATTCCTTGGCTAGTGGCACATGACTCCAGGGTCCCTGGCTATCATGCTGTGACAGGACACAGTCACCTGGCATGGGGCTGCCCTACTCCAGGATGACTTTGTCCCCACCAAGGACATCTGGAGGACTCAGATCATCACTGGGGTGCTGAGGGCTAGTACTCTAACCTGAGAACCAGCCAACTTGGCCATGCTAGGTGACATCAACCCCTCCCCTGTGCCTGTCTTCCATGATCTATGTGAATTTCCTGTGCACAGAACAGCAGGCAGGTGTCAGGTGAACAGGTGAGGACACACATGGCCTGAACAACCAATGGGCCCTGTACCCTGTCTCCTGAGGACCTGGGATGGGTTGAGCAATACTGAGCAAGCTTGACCTCCCTCACCCACTCAGCACCGCCCTCCATCTCCTTGCAGTGCCCGAGGCTCCAGCCCAACCCTGGAGGATTCTTATATCACTAAGACAGTTGTATCCGGAGACCTGGAAGGCAGCTTCTCCTCAGTGGCCCTGGGGGAAAGGGTGGAGAAGGACGCCTCTCCCCAGGCTGAGAAGAAGTAGGTATTCACCCTGGCTTGGGATAGCAGGACAGGCAGGGCTTAGGCAGGGTCCACAGGGGAAACCATAGAGCTGTGGTCTTGGGCACAAGTCTTCCCCCAGGCACAAGTCAGTTCCTGGCATCCACTGTTTTATTGAAACAGAATCCAGAGGTAGCTAGGCTGTCCCTTGACCTATGGAGTCTTCTGGGTGGTAGAGACGGGACCCTTTGTTGATGCTGAAACAAAACCCCACAGCCCTGGCCCTCGGTCTGAGGCTTGCAGGTCCCCACCCCTAGGAAGCTCACTGGCCCAACACTATCCCTTAACGTGGGGGACAGGGAAATGGTCATGTCCTCTGCAAACTGCACATCTCAGGTAGACAAAAAGTGAAAGAGCATCAGGCAAAAAAAGTCAAAGTTGCCCCAGGACTCCAGTGGGAGCCACACCCAGAGGACCCCACCCGGAGGGCCTGCCCCTCTCGGCATTGGTACTTACAGGTTGCAGGAGCCTGATGTGGACCTGAATATCAACAGAGCCAGGAGGGGCAGCAAGAAGATGGCAACCGGGAAGAAGCAGGCTGCGAAGAAGTTACCTCAGCCCGGTGGCTGATGCCTGCCACCCCCATGTCCCTATAATAAACCTAACGGGCTGTGTCCCAGAGCCCTGCTCTTGGCGAGTCCTTGGAAACTGACCCCTGACCCAGGACTCATGAGGTACTGCGCCTGGAGGCTTGTCAAATCCTGTGATCTGGTTTCTGTCCCCTGAACCCTGTGGCCAGAGGACAATGCCAGTTCCTCTTTTGGCAGAGCCCAGCCTGGAGGGTCTGAAGCCTATATTTGCCCCACATTTGGGGTACACAGAAGGCTGCAGGAGAGCAGGCAGCAATGGGCAATGCCCATAGGTGCCCTGGGCTCCTTGTCCATGACTCATGTGCAGGACAGAGGGGAAGGGGAGGAACTGTACTGGATGAGTGGAAAAGGAGTGAGAGGCAGAGTTTCAGGACATTCCTCCCCCTCTGCTGTCCTCCTCCTCTGGGTACAAGGCCTCAACACTTTCCCAGGCAGAGAAGTAGCCAGCTCAGGGACAAGACCACTGGTTACCTGTGCTGCCACAGCCCCACCCATGCTCTGTGGGCACCAAAACCCCATCATGGTGTAGGCCCAGGTACCTGTCACTGCCCAGACTGCAACCACAGCAAACTAATGTTTGATGTCTGCTTTGTGCCCCCAGCAGCCCTTCCCCCACCCTGAGACCAGGGCTGGGGGGCTTCCGGGAGGAGGCCGGCAGGTCTCACAGGGCCTCGCTGGTTCTGGTGGTGTCTGTGGAAGCCAAGGGGTTCTGAGAACTTGTGGTATGTGTCTGGATATCCCCCCAAAGCCTCATGCAGTCACGGGTGGTGGGGCTTTCGAAGGCAGTTGAGTTGAGCTTTAATAATTGTTTGATTGTCTAGTGCTGGGATTGGCGGTGTGAGTGCTGCACCTGCCCAGTGGCAAGTAACCGGCATATAGTATAAAGAAAGAAAGGAGATGTGCTTTCTCCTTTTGCCCTTTTGGTCTTGTCTGTGGCTGCCATGAACAGTTGCCCCTCTGCCATCTGCCACCCTGTCTTGGAGCCAGTTGAGTGTGAACTGAAACCTCCAAAATAAGCTAAATAAACCTTTCTTTCCTTCATTTTGGGTGTCAGGTGTTTTATCTCAGCAAAGAGAGAAAAGTAACCGAGACAGGCCCCTTCCCAGGTCCTCTGCCTGCGAGGCAAAGTGGGTGGTCAGGAGCCATAGCCTCCAGGAAGCAGAGCAGCATCTCCCTGTGTCAGTGAGGTGGGACAGGGATGGCCACCCACAAATGGGCTTGGTGTCAAAGGCAATGAAAAAGAAGAGGATACCAGGGGTTGGAGTACCTGACCCCTCAAGTGTGGAAGGAGCTGGAAGCCCCTGTCAATGCAGGTGGCACTAGGTGGGTTCCTGTGCCAAGGCCACATGTCCTCTGCTCTGTCATCCTTTCTTCAGAGGCATGTGGGCCACCTGGAAGAAGAAAAGGACAAAGCTCCATCCCCAGCAACTGTGGATCCCATGGCCTTTAGAAAAGGTTTGTTATAAATATGTGGAAACACCAGACAGTGCCAGGCACACCCTTTTTCACTGTGCATCGTCCTCTGGGGAAATGAGGATCCTTGGAGCCAAAGGTTATGGTTTGTGTTGTGGGGGTGGGCTTTTCAGAGGTAGCTGAACCCACAGTTTGTGACTGATTCATGGTCCAATGCTGGAATTAAGGATGTGACTGCTACATCTACCCTAGGACAGGTAGCCCACATATAGTATAAGGGATGGAAAGGGGCCTGCTCTCCCCCCTCCTCTCTTGCCACTTTTAGTATCTTGTATCACCATGAATGGTTATCCCTTTGCCATCACATCCTACCTTGAAGCCAGCTGATTATGGACTGAAACCTCCACAAACTGTGAGCTAAATAAACCTTCTCTCCTTTAACTTTGAGTGTCAGGTATTTTATCTCAGCAATGAAAGAAAAGTAAGACACCAGGAGTGCAGGAGGACCAGAAGTGAGCACCCATGTGGTTGGCAAAAATAGCCTGAGATTCTTTTTAGTATCTTCAATGCTGTGTGGGAGAAAATGAACATTGATCTTTAACCTACAATATTTGCAGAAGCTAACTCAAAAGGGGCCACAGACATAAATCTAAATGGTAAAATTTCTAGAAGAAAACACTGGAGAAAATATTAAGGCAGACAAAGATTTCCTAGGACAATGAAAATAAAAGAAAAATCATGGCATGGACTTCAAAACTTCACTTTGGAAAATACCTGCAAGTTGAGTGTGCTGGCATGTGCCTGTCATCTTAGCATTTGGGAGACTGAGGCAGGAGGATCAACATGACTTCAAGGCCATCCTAAGTTATTTAATAAATTCAAGAATAGCTTGGACTACATAGCAAGACTTTGTGTCAAAAAAAAAATAGAAAGAAAAGAAAACAAAAAGATACAACATAAACTAGAGAAAAATACAAATGTAGAGTGCCTACAACTCAGAGAGGCAGTTGGATTTTCTAAGTGGCCTAAATATTTGAACAGACGTTTTGCAAAGAAGCCATATAGATGGCAAAAAACAGGATGCCCAATCTCATTGGTCTTTAGGGAAATGCAGATCTAAACCATAAATGAGTTACTACCAGACATCTACTAGATTGGCTAAGGAAGTTTTTTAAACTGCAAATGCCAAGCCTTGGAGAGTAAGATGAGTGCTGAGCATGTGCATTCGTGATGGGGTGGGACATGGATGTGGTACAGTACTTGGAAGGGAACCAGTGGCTTCTCAGGAAGCCACACGTCTATAACCAGAGGACGCAGCCAGGCCAAAGAGCAAGTCCCACAGCCCATTCTGTGAAACTCAAGGAAAGATCTGACAAGATAATGGAGAGAAAAATCAGCAAAGGCAGAAGGCTCGTACCGAAATCAAGTTTTCATAGCAATACTAAATGCAAAAAGAATAAGGAATAACCTTGAAGATGGAAGGCACAGCGGTTACCACTGGTGCAGGACAGGTGTATGACACCCAGCAGACGGGACAGTGGACACAATGTTCATTTGTGGGGAGAAGAGGTGCAGATGAGCATAGTTGGAGGGATAATTAGACATAAAATGAACCTTAAAATATTGGTAACCATAATAAAAAATAGAATATGTAACTTTTCAGCCACACCAACACACAGAGTAGCCAAAGAAGAAAATATGGGGAGGGAAAAAAATAACAGTGAATGCCCCCCCAAAAGTCCCAGTATGAGAGTTAGCACAATAGTGTGTGCTGTGGCCTGTGTCTGGATGTCCCCCTCCCAAAGCCTCATGCAGTCATGGGATGTGGGGTGGGGGGTGCCTTTTAGAGAGGTCTAGATCTACAATGCATGATGCTGGGACCAAGGGTGTGTGATAATTAAATTAGTCTACAGATTGGTTTGGCATAGTTCTGGTTAGGATTAAGGGTGTGAGTGCTACCCCCACTCAAGTGCCAGGAGCCTATGTAAATATAGGGTAGAGAAGAGGCTAGTTAGTGTTCTCTTGCCTGCCTGTGTGCCATGGACTGTTTCTCCTCTGCGATGCCCCTCTGTCATCTACCCAGCCTTGGAGCCAGCTGACTACGGACTGAAACCTCTACAGACTTCGAGCTAAATAAACCTCTCCCTCTTTAACATTGAGTGTTGGATATTTTGTCTCAACAGCGAGAAAGTAACTAAGACAAAACATATTAGTTAAAGTTGCTGATCCCAGAGCAGGGACCCAACACACAGACCCTCATGCATGACTCTCACCAAAGCAACGTCCCCGACAGTCACAGAATGGGGACCACTGTCCCTGACGTGAGGATGGGCAGATGTGGTATACCAAAGGCCCAAGAAAGGAAGTGAGATTCTGACCATCATGAAGCATGGTGAACCTAAAAATAAACAGCAACACAGGCACGACAGATGCAGGAATTGTCCAGTAGCAGATTTGGGAAGAAAATGGGGTGACCGTGCCTGGGTTTCTTTTGGCCAGGATGAAAGTATCCTGAAGTTAGAGAGCAAGGATGGCTGCGCGGGTCCACGAATCTACTAAAAGTCGTTTACCTTTACATTTTTTTTTTTTTTTTTTTACCACTGGTACCAGGGATCGAACTCACAACCACACGCTTGTAAGGCAGGCACTTATGCCACTGAGCTAAATCCCCTACCTTTACATTTTAAACAGACAAGTGGTATGGCATATGAATTATACCTAAAGATGTTAAAATGTGGACAAAGTGAGAGTTCTTCAATTGGAAAAAAAATCTATTGTCTACTGCAGACATTCAAAATAAAGACATGCAAATGTTGAAAATGAAGAGGTAGAAACATAGTCCAGGCAGAGATGAGCCTAAAAAGATGGATATGACCAAAACTAGTTCCTTTAAATAGATTGATAAACTTGACTTCTGAAAAGACACACAGCAGCTTCAAGAAAAATTAAGAAAGATTTCTGGGGTGTGGTCTGTGAGGAGTCTAAGGTCCATCCCAGAATACAACTAAGTCCCCAGAGAAAAGGGAGTTGTGTTAGGGATAATCATTCCCCAGTAAGTGTGAGGACTTAGATGACTTGGGGTCAGGTCACAGCGTGTGCCTTAATGGTGTCCCTCTTTCCAAACCCAGACCCAGCGTCACCTCTCTACATTCTTTGGCCACCACGCACCTCATACCCAGTAGAGCTGTGTGGGCAGAGCTGGCCCCAGCCTGGGAAAGTCAACTGAGCCCTGGAGTTTTGTGCTGGTCATAGTAAGGAGTCTGCTGCAGAAGGTGTCCAGCAGGACAGGAGGCCCCAGGTGCAGAGCCACTTTCAGTCCAGGCCTTCCCCAGCCCATGCTATTAGTGGGGGGCTCAGGCCTGAAGGTGGGAGGCCCAGATCCATCCTTGGCACAGTGGGTTGGGTGGCAAATGTGGGAAATAAACCTGTGTGGATTAAGCCACTGGACTGGTTTCTTTCTGAGCTGGGGCCTCCAACATGGGACAAGTTCTACCTCGGAGCTGCTCCCTGTTAGCTGCAGGCTCCCTGCATGGCTTCTTCATGGTCAGTTCTGCCTGTGAAGCTCATCTGTGCTGTGTGACACCTCTGTCTATGGAGTCATGGACATGTCTCTGCAGAGCTATGGCAAGGCCATCTATACTGTC